GTCAAATGGCACTGCATCGTGCCCTTGGGGAGATCTTTCAAAGCATTCGCGAGTGCTCTCAGGAGGGCGAGCTAATCAAATGCGCCGACGGCTACGAACGACTATGCTTTCCGGTGCTCTCGGGCTGGATCGCCGATCAACCCGAACATTCAAACTTGCGAAACATTAGCACTCGTGCTTGCTCGAGATGCGAGGTGGAGTTTCACAATCTTGGGAGCACTCGTCGAAGCTCTATGCGCAATCACGAGGACTACAGGGAGAGGGTACAGCTATTTGGCGAGAACCCGGGCAATCTAGAACCGGTAGAATACCTTGTTGGGAGATCCGTCAAAACACTCTTCAATGCTTTCTGGGGTATGCCGAGGGTTAATCCGTACGATCTCAATAAACCGGACATACTGCACAATATTTACCTGGGGATGTTGAAGCACATGATGGAGTGGATTCAGGGTTTCTTGAAGAAGCATCATCGATTGGAGGAATTCGACAAAGCTTGGGCTTCGATTGCGCCTTACCCTGGACTAGCAGTACCAAACAAGGCATATCGTTCTACCACCCAATGGCAAGGGAAAGAGATGCGGAATCTGGGGCGGGTCGTTCTAGGAGCACTCGCGGCTGCTCTGAGAAACCCGGGAGTGGCTGTCAGGAGCGACTTCGCAAAAGCTTTGAAATGCGTTCGAAGCCTAATAGACTTCCACTTAATGGCGCAATATGGGAGTCATACAACGAGCACACTGGACTATATGGAGAGCTATCTCGAGGATTTCCATAAACACAAGGATATCTTTTTAGAATTCAGGGCGTACAAGAAGACGTTAAAGGATGCGAGAGATCGAACGAAAGCAATTAGTGGCTCCCAGAGCACCCAGCGAGGCTTGGAGGAGATCCGGGAGATTCGGGAAAGATCGCACTTCAACTTCATCAAATTGCACGTCTTAATGCACTACCGGGAGCACGTTGAGCGCTTTGGTAGCATTCCTCAATACTCCACGGACGTCAGCGAGCTTGCCCATGTACGGCAGGTAAAAGAAGCTTACAGAGCGTCCAACAAGGTTGATGCTGCGACGCAGATACTGGACTATGGAGGGAGGCGATTGGCGTTAGAGATTCGAATTCTGAATCTGAAAGACATCGTCGGAGGTTCTGAGAGCACTGACGACATCCTCTGGAGCCATGGGGATAACCTCAAGGAGTTGCTCGACATTTTCAAGATCGAGGACCGCAAGAAAACGCCAAATGAACGCTCAATAGTAGAAAGCGGACTGCCCCTGAAGCGTCTTTGCAACCCCTCCGCGAAATCGGAAAGACTTTTCAACGTGGCAGACGGACTGCAAATGAGCCATCTCACGCTATATCGTCTGATAAAGGAGTATGCCGAGGATGCGGGATGCTCTCAGAGCTTTGCCGGAAGCTCTGAGAGCATGTTGGAGCGCCGGGTGGAGGTTTTCACATGCTTGCAGGTTCCGATACCAATCTTCCAAAGGCCTGACGTATACGAGGTTCACAACATCAGGTGTACGGGAACAGCATCTTTTGGGAAGGGGAAAATAAGAAAGGATTGGGCATGGGTATCGGTAGGTTCCTCAGAGCAGTGGGGAGTGTTTCGGGGACGCTTACCAGGACGTGTGGAGGCTCTGTTCAAGGTGCGGGATAGCACAGGGCGCGCACATAGACTATGTGTAGTTGAGCTGCTTGAGGCGAAGGATCGTGGTATCGCTGATAGCTCACATGGGCTGCTGAAGGTCTGTAGGAGGAGGAGGAAGAGGATGTGGGTCGTGAATATTCGGAGTATATTAGGAATGGCCCTGTTACGGGCATGTCAAGCATTTACGGGAAGTAAGAGAAAAGGCCAGTAGATACCCCAATACCCTCTGTACGCTAATGACAACTCTGGACCGCACCCGCGGGGTGTGGTGCGACCAATATACGACCAAAACACGGAGTCATAAAAAACACGTTTTCGACCCCAATAATAACCCCCGGAGCGTCAAACCGCCGGAGGGGTGTGCTTTGGTACCGGTGGATATATGAGGGACAGCTGGAATCAATCGGATCGAAGATCGGACCACCCGGAGCGAATCGGCGCAAGCTACCAGCCGACCGAGTACCTATCGGCGGTACCTGTGGGTATGAGAGGACTCTGCTATGTGGGAAAGCGATGTGGGAAGAGGCCTGAGTAGGTAGTCTTGTCGTCCGAGACCTACGAATAGCCGATGCTGACGATTATCCACCAGACGGCCGATGGAGAGGAAACCTCGACAGGGAAACGTGCATTAGAATGGGTAAATAGGTTGAGGGGTTTCAGCGGGCTTAGGAGTTTGGGTTACGGACTTAGGAGTTAAATGTTCTTGGTTGTTTTTCAGGGTCTCGGGTAGGCCCCGAGTGTATTCTGTATTATTAGTAGACTGGGCCCTCGAGACATAAGCGAGGGATATAAATACTGTTTCATTCACTGACTAGCCAAACTATCATCGGCGAAATCAGAGTCTTAACAATATAAATCGTTGATACGCGAGTTACAACTCTATTTGACTACATTATTCTTTATACTTTACTCTATCGTGACTTCGTACTCTACCTGAACTATTACGTCGAAGACGGTCGATTACTATCCGCTAACTCTAGTGAATCTTTGTTGATAACGTAGCTCGCGGGGCCCGTATCGGATCAAGGAGATTCATACTCGACCTTGACTGAAGAGACCTTGGAGACTTCTACCTTTGTAGCTGTTAGCCGAACTCTGAGCTCTGCGTAGTGTACTCTTGTGATTTGGTACGCATCCCTCACAGTATATTGTTACTCACAAGTTCACTTGGAGTAACGAAGTCACCTCAAAAGAAGAAACTATCATTAATATCCCCTATTACAATGACTACCAGAAGGGATAATTATTTCATAGATACCTCAGCCGTAACTGAGGAGGCCGGAGGGGAAGATTCTATGGTAATATCGAGGGCTGCTAGCCCAGATCCCCTACTTACGGGAGGACCCTCTACACAAACTAGGCAATCGAGTAAACGCTCTGCTCAAGCCCAGTTCACGAGGAGTATGCAGGAGTTTTTGGATACCCATGAGGCACAAATGAGGTATCTTGGTACGGCTGGACAGGCCATTTGGCAGCAGTTACAAAACCTCCAGGAACAAGTGCAAGGGAGTGGGCAGATCCTGGATAAGAAAGCACGGCAAGAAGCCATTGCCCGAAAGCAACATCTCGAATCGCTTTTCGAGCTCGTGGCGAATGTTCGACAAGTACAAGAAGCCACACGAGCCGCCGACCATGAGGTTCTGGAACGAAATCATCAAAATACCCAGAACCAGTTGTTGGAGGCGGAACGACAACTGAGGACCGTACAAGAGGAGCGAGAGCAGGAAAAAAGGGAACAACGGGAGCTGTTTGCGCAATTCAAGCAGTCCGATGAAGTAAAAAACCAAGGGATAGCCGAGATGGAGGAACGACTACGACAACATTTGTCGGTAGCCCCCTCCATGGCTAGTGCTCCCTTAGATCCTAACGCACCCCAAACGGTTCCTGTTGGCAATGGCAAGAACCCCGAAAATGCCGGCCCCCAAACCTCAGGGAACGGCAAGCAACCAGAAGGAGCTGGCCCAGTAGGAGGAAATGGAGGTAAGCAACGGGAGAACGCCGGCCCAGTACAGGGAAATAGTGGAAGGCGACCGGTAGGAGCTGCCCCAGTCGGAGGGAATGGTGGAAATCAACCTCCCCGGAACCCACCAAGAGGAAACCTTGGGGGAGATCCAGAACCTTCCGACGACGATGATGACGATAATAGCGAGTGGTCGTACGGAAGGAAGAACTGGAGGGTGAACCGAGGCGGGAACCGGAATTCGGCGCCGCCTGAAGACGAAGATATGGTAGATTCGCTCGCTAAAATACCCTTCGAGTTTGACAACGCCCGGAAACACAACCTGCGGCATTGGCTTATGGAGTGTGAGATCTACTTTCTACAGAGGCCAAATAAGTTCCGGAAGGATAGGAACAAGGTACTTTTTGCCGGAACGTATACGAGTGGGTTAGCAAAGGAATGATTCATGGAATACATCGAAACTAAAATGTTAGGCCCGGATGGGGCAAACTATGCCACTTGGGCTCGGTTCCGTCAGGAAGTCATGAAGCGCTTCCTAAGCACTCAGGAAGCTATGGAGAATGCGATGAAGATGCAGCAGTTTAAGTACTCTGCTAACATCGGTGACTACCTAACGAGGATGGAGATAATGAACCAGCATGCTCAGATGAAAGGGGCATCCTACCGCACCGCTTTGCTCCAAGGGCTACCGAACGAAATCCGGGAGCGCCACTCACGGTTCGATCCAACCGAGGACGATTCCGAGTATATCCAGCAACTAGAGCGAGCTGGCAAGGCTCACGAGTCTTACCAAGAGCAAATGAAGATGTTGGGGAGAGCGGAGTCGAGAGGAAAGGAGTTGAATAATGGTGGGAACTTACGGCAGAAAGACAAGGGGGGGTTTAAGATCAAGGGGAAGGCTCAAGGTGAGGAGAAGGAGAAAGGACGAGCGAAGAAAAACACCAGCACAGAAAAATCCGGGAATAAACCAGTATTCCACGACGATGACGAAGCCACCAAAGGCGTCCCGAAGACGGTCCAGGACCAGCGAAGGACTGATGGTGCCTGCGTGCGATGTGGCCGGAAGAATCATCTCTGGAAATGGTGTCGCTCGGATGCTAACAGTAGTGCATCCATCTCCTCCTTCTCCCGAAAGCGTACCCGCGATGACGACGGTGACCACGATATGGAGCCAGAGGAACCCCAACCTCAGAGAAAGCGAATGCGGCATCGAGCAAAGAAGCCGGCTGCTACAGCTGCTGTGGAGTACACTAGTGGGCAAGCGTTTATGCGAGAACGCGGGTCGGAATCTGAAATGGATTTCGATAAGGATTTTTAGAAGGGGACTCTGATGAGTCAGGTCAGGAGTATCCCCAGATTGCTATGTTATCACTGACGGAAAACAACAAAAAAAATATGAAAAGAAAAAGGCAGGAGGGGAGAGCGTCCCCACCGGAGAAAAAACAGAAAATTTTGAAGGAACCAATTCACGGTCCTCGGCCTATCGTTAATCAGTTCCTTTGTTTTGCAAAAAAATGTTTACCTTGTAAGGTGTTGTTGGATACTGGTGCAACTGGTCCTGTTTTGTCTTCTGTTCTTGTTGATAGTTTTGAGGTCCCGAAGGTGAAACGGGACGTCCCGGCCCGGGTATTTGGATTTACTGGAGAGATTTTGAAGGGCACGGGACACGCCTTTACACAACCATTAATTATAATGTCAAGGGGGCATCAAACACAGTTATCATTCGAGATCGCCCCTCTCCCACTTGGCATCGATGCAATACTACCGAACTGGTGGTTAAAAGAACATAAGCCGGTTATAGGGGCAAATGGGGAAGTTTTCTACGATGGCGAGAACTGTAAGAGTCGATGCTTCACTGACAAGGAACCTCAAATAGAGATGGACGAGGGTGTACTGGATGATCCGGAGGCCCAGTTCATCGGTAGCATCTGTCTATTGGAAGATGAATCGGTTAACCTCCGCGAAACTCTTCCCTCTTGGCTCCATAAGTTCCTTAAAGTCTTCCTACCGTCGGAAGCAGATAAACTACCACCACATCAATCTTACGACCATGCGATAGACCTCGAACCAGAGAAGCAACCACCATGGGGACCCGTTTACTCCCTATCCGAAGTCGAGCTGAAGGTGCTTCGGGAATACCTGGACAAAATGTTGCGATTCGGAAAGATTAGGCCGAGCAAATCACCGGCAGGAGCCCCAATCCTATTTGTGAAGAAGAAGGATGGTAGTCTGCGACTTTGCGTGGACTACCGTGGACTTAACCGTGTGTCCATTAAGAACAGGTATCCCTTACCGCTTATGGACGAGCTGCGAGTCCGAGTGGCAGGCGCGGTTATCTTCTCGAAGATTGACCTGAAGGAAGGTTACAACCTCATCAGGATCAAAGACGGCGACGAGTGGAAGACAGCCTTCCGTACGCGGTACGGGCATTTTGAGTACCTCGTTATGCCTTTTGGGCTGGCAAATGCGCCGGCGACCTTCCAGAACATGATGAATGATGCGCTGAGGGAATTCCTGGATCAAGGTGTAGTAGTATACCTTGATGATATCCTAATATATAGCAAGTCTCGAGAGGAGCACAGAGAGCTGGTCGGCAAAGTACTTAGCAGGCTACAAGAATACAACCTGGTCGCCAACCCGAAGAAATCGTTCTGCGAGCTCACTGAAATTGAGTTCCTCGGATACATCCTTGCCCCAGCAGGCGTCACCATGGCACTGGATAAGGTCATGTCTGTTACGAATTGGCAAGCCCCGCGCAGCGTCAAGGAAGTACAGATCTTTATGGGCTTTGCCAATTTCTACAGAAGGTTTATCCACAATTTCTCCGGGGTCTGCAAACCCATTACCGATTGTCTCAGGGGTGATGCTAAGAACTTTGTCTGGTCTATGACGGCCCAAGCAGCCTTTGAAAAACGCAAAACCCTATTTACGTCTGCGCCGATCTTGGTACACTTCTCTCCAGATCGCCAGACTATCGTGGAAACGGACGCAAGTGATTTTGCTATCGCCGCAATTCTATCCCAGGTTATTGACGGAAAGACTCACCCTGTTGCCTTTTATTCTCGAAAGCTTAACCCAGCGGAACTCGACTACGACGTCTGGGATAAGGAGATGCTGGGAATTGTGTCAGCCTTCAAGCAATGGCGTCACTACCTCGAAGGACCTAGCCGAACGGTCCTCGTCTATACGGATCACAAGAACTTAGAGTAGTTCTCTACAACCAAGGTCCTTAACCGACGACAGGCAAGGTGGGCTGAGTCTTTGGCGGAATTTGACTTCAAGATTATTTACCGCCCGGGAACCAAAAATGGGAAGGCAGATGCACTATCGCGACGGCCGGAGTACCGTCCTGAAGGGGGAGGCACGCTTGGGAAACAGCCGATAGACAGGTTCTTTAAGTCCGGACAGTTGGCGGAGGAAGAGTTTGTGGTATCAGCGGTGTCGCTTGCCTCCAAGGGGGTGATTGACTGGTCTAAGAATTTTCTGGATCATGTCAGGCAGGCGGCATCGGGAGACCCGACATGGGTAGGATTGAAAGAGAGAGTTGAGCAAGGGGAGAAGCTGGGGAAATTGAAGGATATCGCTGAGAAAGACGGGCTACTTTTCTATAAGAACCGACTCTACATTCCGGCCGACTACCGCATCAAGATTCGGATAGCACAGGCAGAACACGATTCAAAAGTGGCAGGACACTTTGGACAAGACAAAACGTTGGAACTCATCACGCGCAACTTCTATTGGCCAAAAATGAACGAGTGGATTGATGATTACGTTCGGTCATGTGACGAGTGCCAACGCAACAAACCCAGCCACCATAAGAAATACGGTGCGCTTCTACCATTGTCCACACCACACTCCGTCTGGCAATCGATATCTATGGACTTCATCGTGCAGTTACCGGAATCAAAAGGATACAATCAAATCTGGGTAGTAGTCGATAGGTTCTCGAAGATGTCGCACTTCATCCCCCTAGTAGCAGAAACGACCGCGCAAGATTTAGCGAAAATATTCCTCGGTCAAATCTGGCGACTCCATGGGCTGCCTCTTAATATAGTTTCCGACAGGGACGCCAAATTTACTTCAAGCTTTTGGGCATCCCTTGTGGAATTACTGGACGTGAGGATAAGAATGAGTACGGCGTTCCAACCTCAGACCGATGGGCAGACAGAGCGGGTCAACCAAACCCTCGAGCACTACCTACGAGCGTTCTGCAACTACGAACAAGATGATTGGGCAGAGCTACTCCCGTTGGCGGAGTATGCTTACAACAACTCGGTTAACACCGCCACGGGCCAATCTCCGTTCTATACCAATTACGGTTACAACCCAAGAACCAACTGGCCGATGGAAGCCGAAGTGGTCAACCCAACCAGTGACCTGTACGCTCACTTCATCCGAGGAGTTCACGATTCTGCTCTCGCTCGCTTAACAGACACAAGGGAGAAGATGGGGAAATATTATGATCGGAAAAGGGACGAATCGCCTAACTTCAAGGTGGGAGACATGGTTATGCTTAATGCAGCCAACATCAAGACAAGTCGCTCGACCAAGAAACTCGATCATAAGAAACTCGGTCCGTTTAAGATTATCCGACTAGCCGGGAAACGAGCCTGCGAACTGGAACTGCCACCACAAGTCAAAATCCATAATGTTTTCCACATTGAACTCTTGGAACGTTACCGACAGAGCAGTATCCCAGGCCGCGAACAACGTTCCCCGACCCCCGAAGATGTCGATAAGCAAGGAGAGGTTCTGTATGGAGTGGAAAGTATTGTGGGAAGTAGGAAGAGTAGGAGAGGATTGGTGGAATATCTGGTGAAATGGCGGGGCTGTGAGGGATGCGTACCAGCCCACAAGAGTACACTACGCAGAGCTCGGAGTTCGGCTAACAGCTACAAAGGTAGAAGTCTCCAAGGTCTCTTCAGTCAACGTAGAGTATGAATCCCCTTGATCCGATACGGGCCCCGCGAGCTACGTTATCAACAAAGATTCACTAGAGTTAGCGGATGGTATTCGACCGTCTTCGACGTAAATGTTCAGGTAGAGTACGAAGTCACGATAGAGTAAAGTATTTCAAATAGTATAGTCAAAATAGAGTTGTAACTCGCGTATCAACGATTTATATTGTTAAGACTCTGATTTCGCCGATGATGGTTTGGCTAGTCAGTGAATGACACCGTATTTATATCCCTCGCTTATGTCTCGAGGACCCAGTCTACTAATAATACAGAATACACTCGGGGCCTGCCCGAGACCCTGAAAAACAACCAAGAACATTTAACTCCTAAATCCGTAAGCCAAACTCCTAAGTCCGCTGAAACCCCTCAACCTATTTACCCATTCTAATGCACGTTTCCCTGTCGATGTTTGCTCTCCATCGGCCATCTGATGGATAATCGTCAGCGTCGGCTACTCGTAGGTCTCGGGCGACAAGGCTACCTACTCAGGCCTCTTCCCACATCGCTTTCCCACATAGAAGAGTTCTCTCATGCCTACAGGTATCGCCGATAGGTACTCGGTCGGCTGGTAGCTTGCGCCGATTCGCTCCGAGTGATCCGATCTTCGATCCGATTGCTTCCAGCTGTCCCTCATATATCCACCGGTCCAAAAGCACTCCCCTCCGGCGGTTTGACGCTCCGGGGGTTATTATTGGGATCGAAAACGTGTTTTTTAACTAGGGAAACCGCAACTCCGCATTTGGTCGCATATCGATCGCACCGCACCTCGTGGGTGCGAACCAGAATTGGTAATAGTGTTCTCATTAGTATTAGAGGGTATTGGGGGTATCTACTACCCTTTCTCTCACTCTCGTAAATGCTTGGCATGCCCATAACAACCACCGCTACCCCGCTTTTCTCTAAGCGTCAGCAGGTATTTCCGATGCCCAAGGCAACCACCCTTAGTCAAAGCCTTTGTAACACCTGCAGCCTTGGTTGCCACACAACCGGGGCCTGCATGAATGAGCTGCCGCTCATATGTAAGCTTAATCATTGCTGTAGAGCTCTCGCTTATTGTAGACTTCCCTATCATAGTCCCTGCCTCTTCGGCGGTCCTACAATGCTCAGAGGATACAGAGGATCACCGGGCAATCAGAGCTTCACTCTGGCCGGTCTTCTAGTCACTGGCGAGGCATAGACTCGTCAGTCATTGCTCCCATGAATAGATCCCCTTCCTAGCGCCCGGAATGTAGTTACTCTAACAGCTGGTAGCTAACCACACTGCCGGTACTTGCATATCACCGTGCAACTGGCTTCTAACAATAACTCTCAGCATGTAACCGGGCCCTGTGTGTACTCATACACCAGACAGTTGAAATGGCTCCGTTACAGTATATACCCAAAGATAAGAAACTTCAGATGGAAAAACTGTCCGATACCCATGACTCTAAGGTGGCTGGTCATTTTGGCCAATTTAAGACACTAGAGCGGGTGAAAAACAACTTCTTTTGGCCCAACATGGATAAGGATGTCGAGGAATATGTCCGGAGCTGTGATAGCTGCCAGAGGAATAAGACCTCAAGACATAAGAAGTTTGGTATGCTCCAGCCGTTGGAGATACCTTATCGGCCATGGACTTCCATCTCTATGGACTTCATTGTGGGATTACCGGAATCTAGTGGGTTTACAAAGATCTGGGTAATAGTGGACCGTTTTTCGAAGATGGCACACTACATCCCTCTTCCTACCCTCAACAAAACAGAAGATTTGGCTAAGCTGTTCTTGAAGGAAGTTTGGAGACTCCATGGTTTACCTGATGACATAGTTTCGGACAGAGATAGCAGGTTCATCTCTCATTTTTGGCAATCTCTCATGAGCCTCCTCAATGTGAAGCTGAAAATGTCCACATCGTTCCACCCTCAAACGGACGGTCAAACAGAAAGAGTTAACCAGACCCTGGAACATTACTTGCGGAGTTATTGTTCATATCAACAGGATGACTGGGCAGAGCTCTTGCCTTTGGCAGAGTATGCATATAACTCGGCGGTCTCTGAGTCTACCAAAGCATCGGCTTTCTATGCCAACTATGGTTATGAACCTAGGACCAACTGGCCGGCCCCGAAGGAAGGAGTAGAATGGAACAATCCAGCAAGTGAGGTCATGATATCTCAATGGGAATCTATCTGGCAGGCTATGAACGCCAGCTTGGGTAAAGCTAGATTAAGGATGGCCCGGTGGTATGATGCTCATACTCTGTCACCGCCCGAAATCAAGCCCGGAGATGAAGTAATGTTAGACCGGCGCAATGTGCAAACAAAGCGGCCTTTGGGAAAACTGGATCAGAAGAAGATGGGACCCTTCAAGGTCTTAGAAGCTATTGGTACCCGTGCCTACAAGTTCTCTCTTCCCCCTCAAATGGGAATCCACCCGGTCTTTCATGTCTCTCTTCTGGAACCTTACAGAGTACCGGTAGATCCTGAGAGAAGAGTTCCACCACCGGAACCTGAAGAGATTGAAGGAGAACAGAACTGGGTTGTCCGAGAGGTAGCTGATAGCCGGGTCAATAAGAAAAGAAGACGAGTGGAATACTTAGTGTTGTGGGAAGGTTATGAGAACGAGGATGCTACATGGGAACCTTGGGAGCATCTCAAGAAGAGTGCTGAAGAAGCCCTTCGGGATTTCCATATGAGGTATCCTAAGAAACCCAAGGACAAGCGGATTGCTGGGATGTAGTTTTTTTCCTTTGGGGTTTCATTCCTTGCATATCACGAAGTTTCTTGTCACATAGAATGGATGGTAATAGAATGGTTATAGATCTCGGAGACCAAGATCCTGGAAGAGGGGAGTGGTGTAACGGAGCCATTTCAACTGTCTGGTGTATGAGTATACACAGGGCCCGGTTACATCCTGAGAGTTATTGTTAGAAGCCAGTTGCACGGTGATATGCAAGTACCGGCAGTGTGGTTAGCTACCAGCTGTTAGAGTAACTACATTCCGGGTGCTAGGAAGGGGATCTATTCATGGGAGCAATGACTGATGAGTCTATGCCTCGCCAGTGACTAGAAGACCGGCCAGAGTGAAGCTCTGATTGCCCGGTGATCCTCTGTATCCTCTGAGCATTGTAGGACCGCCGAAGAGGCAGGGACTATGCTAGGGAAGTCTACAATAAGTCAGAGCTCTACAGCAATGATTAAGCTTACATCTGAGCGGCAGCTCATTCATGCAGGCCCCAGTTGTGTGGCAACCAAGGCTGCAGGTGTTACAAAGGCTTTGACTAAGGGTGGTTGCCTTGGGTATCGGAAACACCTGCTGACGCTTAGAGAAAAGCGGGATAGCGGTGGTATTGTTTCCGGCACTGAGGAAAGGCTGTAACGGAGCCATTTCTACTGTCTGGTGTATGAGTACACACAGGGCCCGGTTACATGCTGAGAGTTATTGTTAGAAGCCAGTTGCACGGTGATATGCAAGTACCGGCAGTGTGGTTAGCTACCAGCTGTTAGAGTAACTACATTCCGAGCGCTAGGAAGGGGATCTATTCATGGGAGCAATGACTGACGAGTCTATGCTTCGCCAGTGACCAGAAGACCGGCCAGAGGGAAGCTCTGATTGCCCGGTGATCCTCTGTATCCTCTGAGCATTGTAGGACCGCCGAAGAGGCAGGGACTATGCTAGGGAAGTCTACAATAAGCGAGAGCTCTACAGCAATGATTAAGCTTACATATGAGCGGCAGCTCATTCATGCAGGCCCCGGTTGTGTGGCAACCAAGGCTGCAGGTGTTACAAAGGCTTTGACTAAGGGTGGTTGCCTTGGGCATCGGAAACACCTGCTGACGCTTAAAGAAAAGCGGGGTAGCGGTGGTATTGTTTCCGGCACCGAGGAAAGGCTTCACCGGAACTTAGTAAGGAGTTAGGAGCAGAGAATAGAGGCCTTCGGAGTATAAGTACTCAGGTTCATTCTCGCCCTTCAGTCCTGTTCTCTCCAGTCTTCATCAGAAAGAAAAACCAAGTTCTTATCGGTAGCAGAGCCCTTAAAGATTATTGAGTTCTAGCGATAGTATCTTTGAATAATCTGCAACCTGATTGTCTATCTTGCACGGCCGTCTCTATTCTATCTGATTCTATTTCTCCTAGAAAGGACCCCCGTTACACAAATAGACGCAAAATTTAGATTTTCCGCACTTGTTTACCCTAGAAACAACCTTCAACGATATCTTTAGTAGTGTTTTGACCTTTATGATAGCATACTGGTAAGCTCTGAGAGTGGGATCATGGGACATCACTCGGTCTTGTTGCTTCATGGCTTCCCCGCAAAACAAAATTTACCTTGCTTTCTATCCCAGCCGCCACCACACGTTATAATTTTATTTTGACACTGTGAACTTATTCTATATTAACCTTACGTTCCTGTACCCTTTATCTTAAGTTGTTGTGGGCTCCTCGAACTTTGTCTAGCCTTTGTTCTTCCAACACAGTGGTGTTTCTGTAGCAACCGTATTCTCCCTCGGTATGCTGGATCTCGTATCTGGTACCACGTGTTTTCAAGGCTCTAGCAGCTGCAGGTCCCAATCCTTCATGGGATACTTTTATGGAAGGATCTCATTACGGTTAGCCCTTCCTTAGTCGCATTGCTTTTTTCCATAGCTCTTTAATCTGAGCCACGACATAGCTCTCCCCAACCTCCATCATCCTCAGGAATCACTCATGTCTTCAAGTCCATTGATGCCAGCTGCCTCAAGATCCACATCTCTCAGTAGTAGTGTAGTTACAGACTCGGAATTTCCCCTTGGCAAAACAATAACCCTCGGCAAGTTATTATCTCTTACAGTAACCGAGGACTCTTTAATTATTCTTGGTACGCATGGCACGCGCTCGTTCCACACTTAGAAACTGACATCAACGGTTCAGACGAAAACATCAAAAAATCATCCCGCTCATGCTGCAGTGCATGGCCCACTGGTTTGCAATCACGCTTCATTGCTGAAGGACCTGCTGACACGGTGGTAGTTAACCGTAAACGTACTATCGCACTGTATAATATCCTATGGGCAGATGTCGGTGCGACAGCCATAACGCTTAATTTTGCCGAATCGGCATCAAACTCTTCAGTCCGGCCTACTAGCCTAACATACCCATTTCAACTCACCACCCTTGAATCGGTTGAGAAATGGGTGTTATATCTTCTCGATAGAGCATATGAGGGTTTGACCCACAACACGATTATCACTCTTTCTTACTGACGTATGCTAGATTCCCTTGCACTGAAGCGTTTCAAAGTCATCATCAATCCCTTCGGTGGCTCGGGACAGGCAGTAAATATATTCGAGAAGCAATCAAAGGCTTTGCTTGAAGCTGCACGTTGCAAACTCGATATTGAGCATACCACTCATTATAAACATGCAGTAGACATTGCCGAGAATTTGGACATTGATTTATTTGATGGAATCATATGCTGTTCCGGTGACGGGGTCCCACACGAAGTATTCAATGGTTTTGCAAAAAGGAACGACGCAACGAGAGCTCTGAATAAGATTGCTGTTTGCCAGCTGCCCGGGGGCTCTGGAAATGCAATGTGCTGGAATCTCACTGGTACTGGAAGCGCGAGTTTGGCAACCGTTGCAATTATCAAGGGCAAAAGGAGATCTATTGATCTCCTTTCTATAACCCAAGGAAATAGCCGGCTGATATCCTTCCTCTCCCAGTCCGTCGGAATGATTGCCGAAGTTGACCTTGGAACCGAGCATCTCCGCTGGATGGGTGATGCAAGGTTTACAGTTGGTCTGCTGCAACGCATATCTAGACAAACTGTCTATCCATGCGATATATCGATCAAAACAGCAATTGAAGATAAAGATTCTATCCGTGATCATTACCGCACCTATGAAGGCGATAAAGGTATCATCAAGCAAGATATTGATAATGGGAGTCAGTTCCCAGGATTGAAGTACGGGACCGTAAATGACCCGTTACCAGAGGATTGGGAAACAGTGCACCATGCAGAGATGGGAATTTTCTATGCAGGCAATGCAAGTTAGCTCCTAATCCAGAAATCTCGCCCCAAAGCTGACATCCATCCTCATAGATGGCCTGGATGTCCGCCGGTGCCAATTTCTTCCCGGCGTCCTGTCCCCGTGATGGTTTTCTGGACGTTATAACAATCCCCGGGACACTCTCCCGTCTATCCGCTACAAAAGTTCTCCTTGCTGTCGAAAAAGGACACCATTTTAATCTGGATCAAGTTAACTATAAGAAAGTTGTAGCATACCGTATAACGCCACATAAACGCGAAGGTGTGACAGAAGAGTACGTCAGTATTGATGGCGAGCGCGTGGATTTTGCCCCACTACAAGTTGAAGTGCACCAAGGTCTTGGGACAGTTCTGGCAAAGGGAGATGGTTATGAAGCTCCTGGAGTTTAATAATTTGGCCTAGTATAGGCGCTCCATTATACGTAAACTGGGAAGTTTTGGGACATTAGTTTCTTTAGGTTTTTATCGAAGAAGATTTTCCATGCAAGTCAAAATTGTGCCATGAGCTGAGACACCATCCATTCACAAGAACCTACACTTATCACCATCGGTTCCCACCACCGTCTTTCCCCAACCGTCCCTTAATTTCTACGGTGGTGAAATAGATATTATAATGATCTATTGGATAGGAGCCGTAAATACAAGAGCAACATGTGAATATCGAACTATAAGGGGTAGGTTCAACACTAAACAAAAGCAAGTCTTAAGACATCATTAATTAGGTGATCATCTTTCAAGGTTTAGGTTGTATCCCGAATACATCAACAATGTAAAGGTCCCAGAGAGTTATTACAAACACTTGGTAGTGATATGACAGTGTTCAACCGGATCCTGCGAACGCGTTCCGATTGAAAGGCCACAGTTACGACGGAAATTCTGCCCCCCTCAAGAGCACGAAATCCTATTACATAGAATACATAACCCTTCCTATGGTCAAAGGTATTCCCGTGATTCCGAATTCCTTCCGGTCGCTACTTATAGCGAGCACTTTTAACCTCGAAACCGTCAATCCCCGTTCAGTTCCCCTGCAAGACAATAGAGTCACAAAAGGCGTTCTTATAACTCTTCCTCTGTTCCTAACGTTGCCCTGGATAGTGTTTGTCGTCTCAGTGAAGTGTATATTTCAATTAAGTCGACTTTTGTAGCAAAACACGAAGGGGTACATGTATTTTGTAATCCTTCCCAAATTTACGCACACATAGATGATCGGGGCAGAATACTCTACTACTACCGTCAAAAGGACATCAGGATCTCGTTGGGAAGGGCGACCCCCAACGGAAACCGATACTACCAGCCCTGTAAGAATGAATGGATTTAACCCACTCGTGATATTGGGAAATACATTTGTTATTAATCTACCTACGTATAATGTCCAGTCATGTTACATGGAAGAGAAATTATATGTATCTGCGAAGTGCGAAGTAACGGAACGATTCCCTTTCTTTTAGCCGGCCGAAGCCAGGTTTGTACTCTCTTAGGCAACTATCTCTATCTCTTCAGACATCTACCTACACCTAGTAATAGACTTTGCTTGATCCGAAGCCTCTTACCTCTGGCAAGTCTAAATCTCACTCCGCTAACTATTTTCGATGGTATGTTACCGTTTGTGGCCCCCTCTTTCCCTTTTCTCGCCTCACCAACTGCTCCTCGTAGTTAAGTTTTTATGTCATTACTGTGAAAACCGAACACGAACAAAGATCCCTTCGTTCGTGCCCGATGTTCAATGTAAAATTAGCCAAAAACCGGTGTGGTAGACTGCTATAAGGGTGGATAGTCCCAAAGGGACGGAAGATTGGATGAAGGTCACAAACTGTGACTTTAAGCCTAAAGGTTTTCGAGGAGTCCAATGAAAGCCGGTGAAACCCCCCAGTTAATCCATGGTGTGAGGTTTGCACCGAGACTTCTGCCACAACAAAGCGATGACAGAGCGAGTGCTTAGTTGAGCAAAGCTAGTGCTATACAAAGCATATACTGCAAATACATTTAATAAGTATCAGCCACGATTGAGGCCGGTTTTAGCCCGGGAACATATATATTTCAAGTGCAGGTAGGGAAAATTCAATAATTAGGAAAGTAGATAATAGACCCACATATATGTTATTGAGAAGTAGTATTTGAAATAAAAAAATAAAAAAAAGCAAAATATTCCAAAAACCACACTGTACTAGTTTTTGATCTCTGATGTCATGATTTTGATATTATTTTAATTTGATTTTGTTTATTATGCAGCAACAAAAAAGCAGATATACATACAATATATATATACATTTACATACATGTATTATTCTCAAATCCATTAATATCAAAATAAATAAATATTCAAAATCCCGAATAATAATATACTGTCATATTAAATAATAATGCATTATGATGGAAAAATTCAACACCTCTGAAATCTAGCCTATTTTGGTATTTAGTTCAAAAAACGAACGCATTAAGTTTGAAACTACCCCAGTTAGGATTAGTAATGAGAAATATTGTTACCCTACCAATTGTGATTAGTCATAAGCAATATTGTTACCCTACTTTCTTGAAATTTCTCTTTAAATAGTCTAAGCTCTTTCTTGTAAATCATTCTCTGTCTTCTCAACTCACATCACTTTAATTCATTCAATCAATCTCAGTCATCAGCTATTTGGTACAGGACTTTGTTCTAAAAAAACAATTATAAATCTGAAATTGGTAAGCCTACCACTTTATTTACAAATTTATTTCCTTCCTTACTCATTAATGATTAATAAAAATATATCTACATGTACTTCTATATCTTGTCAACTGGATTCAATATAGTATTGAACATAACAGTCAATAGTATTGTTGTGTAACTACAATATTTGAATTTTTATCTGCTTGTATTGCCTGAAAGAAATCCACACTGACTTTTGTATTAGTTATATTGATAAAGGCATGATGGCTGGTAAAAAATCAAAGGCCATTGGCAAAAGAATTTCTTCTCCAAGTGAGCTTTGCTCCAATATAGAAAAGGAATTTGAGGTGTGTAACCCGCCCGACATTAGGCCCTTTGCGCAGACAGAGCTGGCTCCAATTTCTACCTGTATGATTGGTTACCGGAATTTGGAGCTGGAGTCTTTCACAACTTGTGCTTTAATTAACTCCCCTTTAGGTTGTTAGAGTTGTCTCTGAAAAGACCTGCAAATCTCAAGTTGTAAGTACAAGCCTGTGTTCTCGATAATAGCATATCCTCGATAGTAGCATATAGAACGAGTCGATCGGTATGGGCAAATCTGTTCTCGATACAAGCATATTCTCGACAGTGGCACACGAAAATCCGTTCCCGACCATGCATATGCTACTATCGAGACTCTGGAAAGTAGGTGTCTAACCGACTTATAGTATTACGAGATTGAGTGGAAAGGCTACAACACAACAACTTGGGAACCAAGAATCAACCTGACTGGTTGTAATAAGATTCTCAGGGAATGGCGCATGCGCAGTAAAAATCCACACGAAAGAATTTTATCCGAGAAAAAAAACCTCAAGCGTAGCTTGTCCGTTCCGGGCGTTCAAAAGGCTCTCAAAAAGATCAAAGCCGAACTCGACACCCCCGGCGGTTCCATCGAGGGTTTGACTGAAGGTGCGATCACCAAGGGTGACCGGGTCGAGATCGTACAGAATAGAACAGTAAGTACACCTCTCGGGTGAAACGTTGGAGCCTCCGAAACTATCTAATTCATTTAATGCTGTGTTTCTTCTTGCTTGTATGATGATGCCTAACGTACTTCTCATAGCCTGCACGGCGCAATTCAATCCCTCAATTATCTACTCCTGATCACCCCGACACGGTAAAATTCCAAGAGAAACTCGACCAGTTGCCTGGCCCACGAGTCACATTGGTCAATACTACCGGCGACGGCGAACACTCTCCGCCGCTGGATTTCGAATTAATACGAGAGTTACGCCTTTCTGAGGATGTTCCTGTCAAGGATTCTGACTTCCTATTTGGGTGTTCTTGCCCAGCATCTGGGTGCACTGATCCAACTGTTTGTGACTGCGTGAAGGACCAGATCCCGCAGCAGTTCGCATATAAAAACGGTGTCATCATAGCTGGTTTTGATAACCAGAACGTGATATATGAGTGCAACTCAAAATGTGCTTGTACCATTGAATGTGGCAACAGGGTTGTCGAGCGCGGTAGACAAGTTGAATTACAGCTATTTCGTACTCAGAATAAAGGATGGGGTGGGTCCCCTCATTCCATTGATATACCGCAGAATCTCAGGAATAACGAATCGGACTGGGCTGGAATACCACTAACCCATTGGTCAAGACGACCAAAAGTCACGCTTTGGGTCTGTCGGATTGAAGTCTGAAGCCCAGTATTCCCAGTCCAGTTCGATTCGTTATTCCTAAGATTTTGCGGCATTGCTCATTGTATTTATATATGGATACTAATTTTGAGAAACGAAGGATTGCGCTGTCCTGTCGCCCTTCCACGCGGGACATTCATCGATTTATACCTTGGTGAGGTCATTGGGGACGAGGAAGCCGTCAGGCGGGCCGAACTAGCCGATGCCAAAGGAGTCTCTTATCTTTTTGATCTTGATAAATTCGCCGAGATGCCGGAGTACCATCACCAGCTCCAGGCAGAGGGAAAATTCACAATTGACGGCGAGGCCTGCGGCAGTATCGCCAGGTTCATCAACCATTCCTGTGATCCAAACCTTCAGACTTATGCGGTTCTCAATGATTCTTCTGAGAGAAGGATCTATAATCTTGGCCTTTTCACGGGCAGGAGAATCAGCGCTTACGAGGAGTTGACCTTTTCTTACGCGGATGCCGACAAGCCTTCAACCACCGACAAGGAGGACACCGACCCCTCCAAGTGGATCTGCAAGTGTGGCGCAAAGAATTGCAGAGGATACATCTGGCACTGATACCGTTTAACAGCCTTTCATTCTAATCTTTAGGCGTAAATGTACGTTAGAAAAAAATTAATCCCTGGCTCATTCATAATCTTACAGAGCTTTATCAATCCGCAAGAATTACTCGCCTGACATTTCAACTTCTGTAATCACCCTTTATCACTCGGTTACTTACAACCATTGTTGATATCTGCATGCATGAGATATCTTGACTTAGATATACATATCCACGGGATGTAAAAGTACGCAAATACACGTATACAAGTCCTCCCACGCCCCGAAGCGGAGGAAGAGAATAATGTCATATCTAAATAATTCCGTCCCACGCGGCTTGGCACTAAAACATTATCGTAGTTACACAATAATATTAGTCCTAGACGCTACTATTTGCTTAGGAGAGGCATGAGAGAACTATATTGTACAGTGTCCTATCAAGAATGGGTTTTGTATCTGTATTTTGTGAGAGCAATTACAATTTGTTATCCTATTACCTGCTGTGTTGTCGCGTGTAATTTTGCTTCCTAAATGCCAACCTCTTGTTGGTCTAATCTTGACGTCTACGCGTCCGACTTGAAGACGTGTCAACGTTTCTGACCTTCGCATCACGAGTTTAAGCAAGCCAGTTTCCTTAAATCGTCACACATCATCAACGCCAAATCCACAAAATGCCTCGTAAGTCTGATAACACTACAGAGGCTAGAGATGGAGGAAATACTGTAGGAGTCAGTGGTGGATTAGGGGCAGGCGGGATAAGTACCAAGGAAGCTGGCGTGTCCATTGATGTAAGTTCCTATCTCAACTACCCACAATCAAAGAGTTCAACCCAATTTTTAGGACCATACTCTTCCAAAATCTATAGTAACTCGCCTTGCCAAAGGTGTGCTCCCGCAAAACACCAGTGTTCAGAAAGATGCCATCCTTGCTCTTTCTAAAGGCGGCACTGTATTCATCAACTACCTTTGTGCAACGTACAAATCCCTTGCCAGTTGAAACTTATGCCTGAATCTCAATCATACTGACCTGTAATTAGAGCAAACGACACAGCTAAAAACCATGGAAGGAAAATGATCAATCCCAAAGATATTCTCGAGGCCATGCAGATGATGGAGTTTGACGACTTTGTTCCTCGCTTGGAGGCTGAACTAGCTAGTCAGTTCCCTTACCTTTCAATTTTTCATCCTTTCAATCAACTAACTACCATACTTCCGCAGAATTCAATGAACTTGCTGCCGAGAAGCGTGCAGCAGCAAAAAAGCCTTCAAAATCCAAGGATTGTGTTGCTATATCAGGATCCGGTGCCGTTAAGCATTCGCCCTCCGAGTCCTCACATAATGGGAATGATTCCCCCCCAGCGCCCAAGAAGATGCGTGTAGGTGCGACTACAGACTCCGGAACGAGTCAATCAAAGAGCACTGGACATATAACGAATTCTGTTCCTGTTAGAGGGTGGGGGGACGAGGAAGAGGAAGAGGACGAGGAGATAGGAGATGAAGAAGAGGACGATATTGACGAGGCAGAGGAAACCGAGTCTGAAGCATTGGACGAAGAAAGTGACGAAGCTCCTGAAGAGGTCGATGGAAGAAATGGCCAGGATGAGGAGGACGAAGCACTTGATAACGGCATCGATAGTGATTAGCCACCCGTTGATGTCGATATTTGCTGTAGGAGCACCTCGCTTACTCTTGCAAGAATAAAATGCTAGGGTACAACGTTCATTGGGGGACTTTGAGGACCTCACTCACCCCCGGAAAATCAAAAAAATCACTTAATTGCATTGGGAAAAAAAAAAAAAAAAAAATCCCTTGATTCGTAGAGCTCTTTAGTCTAGCAAGTAGTACCACATAATTTGTAATTGGGACTCGGTCAAATACAGGGAACGGTAAACATCAATATCACTCCTCGGCCAAGATCCTTCAATTAAAATCTAAGCCACATGTACTTAGTTAGGTATATAGGCGATACCTTTATCAAGAGATAAGTTTCCACTTTGTAACTCTGCGCTGAGTGATAATGCCTGCTTCATCAGGGGTTTAGAGGTAAGTTGTATTTACAAAATGCATCAGGACATGCAACACAATATACTACCGCAGGTTTGTTTAGTCCTAGACAAATATTGGAAGGTTTTGGCTCTACAGCCATTCTCTAGTTTTTCCTCCATCACAAATTCGATTTCAACGCAGCGAAAACCGTGAGAGATCATTTCTACCAAGGTATAATGCATGCTATGCATATGGCCGATCGATCACTCTTTAGCTTCCTCTAGCCAATCGCCGAACTTCTCTAAACGTTCTTTTTCGCCTTCATCGTCGGCGTCCTTCTTTGAGCTTTTCTTGAACTTCTCCTCGCCGTCGAAGCCATATGCCTCTACTTTCTGACCCCCAAAGAAGCGACCGTTCATCACCTGGGATAAGCTGTAAGAAACACAGGAAATACACCCACATTGTGAAAATTGGGGTTACGAGAGTGTTATCAAATTATCATACCTCAATGCATGCCTTTGCACTCTGTGTGTTGGCAAATCGTACACTCACCACACCGTCCTCCTCGCCATCAAACAGCACAACGTTCGTTACATCGCCCAATTTTTCGCATTCCTCACGAATGTCTTCTTTTAAATCTAAGAGCATTGTTGGATCCTCCTAGAATGAATAAGCACAAGCCAGTGATTAAAACGCAAATTGCTTACCTCGAGCTCCTTGAGGGTGAACATATGCTTTAAGATGACAACTTTATCCCATCGCGAGCTCTTCTCTTGAAGCGCTGATGGATCATCATCATCCCAATCCGCTAGTTTGCTGTTACTCAATAGTCAACTTCTCAGTATCTATTTTTGCAAGCTTATTTCCAGGCGATCGAACTTATTTAGTTTTTGGGTCTTTGCAATGATCTTTCTCTTATCTTTCATGGTCTTTGTCACCGGTGCTGTTTGCTGCACTTTGTAACTGAAGTCCGCCGGCTGGACCTTAATGCGTGTACCTTCCACGCCAAACCGGAAGTCTGAATCGTCAAGCATTTGAACTGCCAATTTTACGCTCTCTGGCCGAAAGTATACAACCAACGCGTCGCCTTTCGGCTGCCCTTTATCATTTTTGTAAAGCTTGATACGCGGTTTCCCTCGATCTATCTCTTCAGCAATTACACCGCATTTCGAAAACACATCCTTGATCTCCTCCTCTGTGACGTCTTGAGGAAGATTGGTGATATATATAGCTGTGTTCTTGCGAGCTGGTGGTTCTCCGTCGCCTTTCTTACTCCCTCGAGCCTTTTTGGAGTTTGAAGCTTCCTGGGCAGTAATTTAACGTAAGTACTAAGTACTAGATCTAGTATATCCCCGATACAAGAATATTAACGCGTCCATACCTCGCTCCCCTCATTTGAAGTGTAGATCTTCTTTCTCTTCTTATTTACAGGGGCAGCCGGTTCAGACTCGTCGACTCCGGCCACTGCGTATGCTGCCTGTTGTTGCTCGGCCAGAGATTCATCTAACTTCGCCGAGAGTTAGTGGTCCCAACACACTGACATGAGGAGTTATGAACATACCACAGGTATCCATCGCTTGAGAGCCTCGTCAAACTCATACTCTGAGCCATCATCTGCTTCCAACGACCATTTCCCTGATACCCTGGACCAAGCGACTCGGGGATCTGCCTCAAACTCCTCACGCGTCATCGGAAAAGATGGGCCTTCACTTGGTACATGATCGGCTGAGCCCGTTGGTTCTACCAGGCCGTTGTTCATTGCAAAGAAGAATTGTGATATTTGTCTGAGGGCGGATTATGTTGTGTATCTACTTCAAAAAAGCGCTATGCACTTGGTGTATTCCAACGAGGTGGACACTGCCGGGAGTTCGTTCTGGGGTGCATACATTTACTTAGTTGGATTGTCTTGGCATTCCTGTTTGATCAACTACATGTATGTATAAAGTACATGTAGTCTCGTACAGTCACTCACGGGGTGAAGGCGGATCCTGTCTGATGGCGGTCAGGGATTTGAGGCCAATAACTGAGTTAACTTTGGGACGCCAAGGGGAAATTACTGCAAACACAACCATCAGACAGGATCCGCCGTCACTAGGTGAGCGACTGTACCCACCCCTACGAGCAGCTTGCATGCTGCTCACCAGGACAGCCGATATAAAGTACTTGTTCACATGATCCAAACTACATCTAGGTACATGTATGTAGGTATGTGTATACATGTGCTCTATGTAGAGAGCCGGTGGCCTACTTTGCGATGATAAATTATTACTACATGTATTTCTATCGATCTTAATATTAATCCCCGTTTCCTATAATTGGTTCTTACAAGCTTCATAAATTGATCATGACCACAATTTGGCCCCGCCCTACCATCCCAATCCACGTACCGCCATAACTCGAAAAATTGGCTAGATCAAAATTACTTGTACGGGAAACTTCTGGTGCAGATCGATGCCATTCAACCAATCACTCAAGTGGTAATCCCTGGACGGAGATAGCCAATTTTTCGAGTTTTGGCGGTAGTTAATCCTTATATCGCGTATTTCATCGCCCTCCTAATTTATGAACCTTTTAGTTTCCCGTGTTAATCGTGGTATTATGATTCCCCTTGCATGTTGACAAATGTGCGGGCTGGTTATAACGGTAGCACTTCTCGGTCCTTTTTGCCCGGGTTTCATCACAATCACCTCTTATATAAGGGTAATCTCTCTATAACGGCACCAAATTCCGGTCCCCAACGTACCGTTATAGCAAGCTTTCGCTGTACATACTAGCAATGCCGACTGGAATTTCGGTCACGTGGGGATACATCTAGAGAGTGGCAAAGGCATGCCAGTTTCTACTCTCACCTACGCATTATTTAACCTACACGTGACCGAAATTCCAGACGGCATCGTTAGTATTTCATACTTGTTCTTCCAAAATAAACTATATTTAAAATCAAAAAAAATAAAAAAAAATCAGTTTATTGTAATATAATAGGGGTATTCACTTGCCAGAATACGTGCTCTTATAGGCATGTACTTATATGAACCGCTTAAAATAATCGGCAGTCGCATATTCTGAAATATGTATGAGGAGAAAATAAGCATCAACTTACATTATTGTCCAGAATATTGACCATACAAGTATATGTGTACCATATAAAGGTACACTAAGCACAAATCTTAAATTAATATGGTAACAGATTTACTCCCACAATATGGCATATACACTCCAGAGGTATTCAGACCTTTGAAAATTTCAGTGCCATATAAGTGGCGTTGTAATGCAGCGCTATAAAGGCACATATTTCTAGAAGTGAATACCCCTAATGTGTTGAATAATGTACTCCTCCTAATTGTATTTAATATTGTGTTCAAAGTGATCATGAAAGTTGTGCATGGGTAATATGGTGCCGGTCACAGTATTTCCCTCGCAGAAACTCAACTTCGCCTAATCTATCTTGCCCCCCAAAAATAAGAAAGTCGAAATTCTAACAAATAGTATATGTAGGTAATCACCAGGACTACAGATTCTGTTTCTATTTGGTTTTAATATTGAAGAAGTACTCGGGCGTTCAGAATTCCGACTACTTAATGAACGTATGAGTAGATAGATTTATAAATTCCGGTATAAATTCTCTATTGTCGCCTACCCTAAACCAGGGTTTCTAGCGGTTTGTTCACTATTCTGTTAGAATATAATTACTTCCAAAACCGGATTATATATGCCTAACAAATCGTTTTTTCGCCCGGGCTATTGGCGCGGATTGTCGGTTTATCGAGACCGGTGCTATATTACATGTATATATATACTCACCACATGTACCTATGTTAATTATCACTACATAACTTCAATTAAGAAGGTTCACTTGATGCCAATGTGATCACTACTCTATATCCATCAATTCTCACATTTTACACAGTAGCAGACAGCATGTTGGCCACACAGGAGTTCTTTCGGCTGCTCAGAGCTTGGGGTGAGACAAATTTATTGTCATTTTATACGCTATATACATGGCTATGCTTTGATTAGGACGGTCAATTCAAGATAAGGTACGGTACATAATTAACGAAAACAATTCCATCGAAAAAGAATTTTGGTGTGTTTGCATTGGCTAACATGCAAGCAAAACGATAAGAAGAACCAGCAGTGCCATTTGACTTCTACAACTCCAGTTTAACACGGAATTTTCTGTCGATGTTTGCCTGCCATTCTAAATACTGATTCCCATGTCTTTTTTGCTATTGTATTTTACATCAAAGGTCATATCCGATATTCCTCGTGTCAATTATTCTTTATCATTCGAACTTGGTAAGAGCGATGGGTGAAAAGCCTCGACTCTAAATTCGATTCTACCGAGAAACATGTATCATATATCTCGCTTTATCTTTCCCTGAAGTCAATTGATATCCTCCTCGGCGTCCTTACTCCTCGCTCAAGCGACAGCCCCACCATGAAAAGAAGAAAAAAAAAAAAAAGAGAAAAAAAAAAAAAGAAGGAAAAGAGGTAGAAACACAGCGATAAAACAATTTCCTCCTAAGAAAACCGAATAACAATAAAATTACACCTACGACCAGGGGTATGAACAAAACTTATATCTTAAATTGCATTTTAACGATTAAGGCTTCTCTGGCGTTTCGCCTGTACTGTGACCCAGAGCAGTGCCAGTTTCCGAAGAGAATTTAGGAGCGGAATCGTCCTCAGAAATGACCTCGCGAGCGAGCTCAACATAATCGTACTAGGGATTGAAAATCATTAGTTCCCTATTTCGCCATCTATAACTGATGAAGGATACATACGGCAAATTCGCCAAGCTCGGCATCATCGATTCCAAGTATTTCAGCCTCTTCACTTGCTCGAAGGCTCAGGCCAGGTATTAAATTCATAACAAAAAGGATTATGCAAGTTCCCCCAAAAGCATACGCGAATCCAGCAACGGAGTCAGCTACTTGATAGCCGAGTTGGATCCAGTGGTGATTGATCCAACCACCATCAATTTCACTGTAACCATCCAAATGCGCAATGTAATCGCTAAAATCTCTTGTTAATACATCGATCGTTTGTTTTAATTAGATAATACAGGAGACTTACGCTGCAAAAAAGGCAGTCATAATGTTACCGACAATGCCGCCGACTCCATGCTCTGCAAAAATATCCAGGGCATCGTCCACGCCGATGACGAACTTGAGCTTTGTGGCGTAGTTGCAAGCCGCACCACCCACGACCCCGTATATGACAGCAGCCCATGGGGGAACAAAACCGGAACCTGGAGTTATCGCAACAAGACCAGCAATTACTCCTGAACAGAAACCAACGGTTGACCACTTCTGTTCAAGGCGATAATCAAGAAGACACCAAGTAATTCCTCCAACAGAGGCTGAGAGGTTTGTCACGACGCAAGCCATAACAGCCCTTAGATTCGCAGAAAGTGCGGATCCACCATTGAAGCCGAACCACCCAACCCAGAGGAAGACAGTCCCGAGAACAATGTGTGTAACATTGTGTGGACGATAATTCAGTTCATGAGTCCCATGCCCTCGTCTCTTTCCGAGCATTAATGAATAAGCCAGCGCCGCAGAACCGGAAGAAATATGCACTGGAGTGCCTCCGGCAAAGTCAAGCCCCCCCATTTTAAAGGACCATCCTGTAGCATTCCATGTCCAACATGCGATAGGATCATAAACCAAAGTAGCCCAGACGAACATGAAAACGACACATGGAAGCATGCGACCCCTCTCTGCCGCTGCTCCGATTGCCAAAGCTACACTAGATGAGGTCAGTAATCAAGATTCAAACCATTATATAATAAATGGAATATACCAAAAAGAAAACAGAAAAAAATTAAGGGAAGAAAAACCACATACGTAATGCATGAGAACATTCCCTGGTACAATGCAAAGAGAAGGTCCGGTATTTTCGAACTGCCTACAGATGTTTGACCAAGAACATTTCGAAACCCGATATTTTCAAGGTTTCCCAAGAAGCTGCCCGCTGAGTGGGAGAAGGCTAGAGAGTAACCCCAAAAAAACCACTGCCAAGATAGTTAGATTACATGTATGTCGCTAATACCTACGGGTAGGGCTGGCATTAAGGGTGGATGCAGGGCAGGTACCTGAAAGCTAACAACAGCCGTCGACATCATCGACAGCCAGATGAGTGAAAGGGCCGACTTTCTTCTCGCGAGTCCCGAATAAAAGAAGCCAACACCGGGAATCATCAAGAGAACCAGTGCAGTGGATGTGAGCATCCATGCATAGTCTCCTGTCTATTCAAAGCGATCGCATGTCAGAAAAAATCATTCCCCATTTAAACCCATCACTCTTCCCTTCTCCGTGAACGCCATTTTTTAGGTCTTAATTTTATTTTATCTTCATCTCTCATGTTGAATCCCCTTCTCTTTCCAGACAAAAACCAAAACAAAGGAAGTGATGAAAACCGTTGCGCGGTCGCTCGTACCTCGTACCAAATGTTAAAATCTTCGGTAAGCGAATCACCACCCGTCGGGCCTGAGCCATTATAGGGGACGAGTGGGATATAGTTAAGATGATCGACATCTATTGAAGACATCGTGTCCTGGAGGAAACGTCTTCGGTCTACTCGTGAGTACACAAGAGGAAAAGCAGTTGGTGAAGTTGAGGCTGAATGAATATCTCAATGATAGAAGGGAGAGGGGCGGAGAAGGGTCGAAGGATGTTTTGTTGTTGCAGTTGGATTATCTACTTTGCGGTTTAAATGTGGGACTGGTATGTATGACAATGGCAATGACAAAATAGAAAGAAGAAAAGAAAGAAAGAAGAAAAAACTAAATTAGAATAGTCGAGAGGAGCTGGAGAAATATCACAAATTGCGCAACTCTCAGAGGTATCCTAGAATTCTAAGTGTCGAGAGCGCCGGCCACAAGCTGGAATGGTAAAGAATGACAGACACAGATCTAGATGGGATTGAGGTAGCCCTGGTGAAAGGAGGTAAAAAAGTACGTTCAGACTTTTTTCACCACCGTGTTAGACGGGAGGAGAGAAGAGAATAAAGAGAAAACCGAACGTAGGCGCTTTACTTGGGGATGCTGTTGTTATATCTCTTGACAGAAATCAATTGTTCCATATCTCGATACTTGGGGGGGGCTGCTGCTAAGAGGGATAAGTGACCCTACTAGACTGTGGGGGTACAGTCTTAGGCCGACGGGGATAACAGGGTTCTAGGAGTGGGTGGGTTGAGCTGTGGGTGTCGCACGACTTGCTCTAGTACCTACACCACTACCGTCCGCATTTATGTGTCGCCTCAGTGGGGGAGAGTTTTGGTGATCGATGAGCAAGGGGTAACCAGACATCCTACCTCATCCCCCTAACAACCCAAACATGTATGTACAATAATATAAAAAAATGCACTCTTCTTTAATAAACCTACAGATGTAGAGTACCTACTCGGGGCAGGTAACAAGAACCTGAACATAAAAACGCGCTAGCAGGGGTCAAAGTGGTTGCTACCAGAAAAACGATGTTCAGGTTCTTCATGCCTACCGCGAGTACACTGGGCCTACTATACGCACATGTTATCTCTCGCTGGATACAAACACGCTGCATAGTGCCGCTTATGGCCACTACATGTACATATTAATATAATTGTGCACACATGTACATGTAGGCCTTCCGTCCCAAATGCTCGCGCACATAAGTTAATTGTTAACATGACGACGATACCCCAGGCTATACCGCTACTAAGTTTGCTTCACGGCCCTGTGTTCTGGTGCGTCTGCCTACATAATAACTTGCCCAGTGTCACAACCTCACTCATTCCAGCCAATTTGATTGTACACCTTACATCCGAGTTGAATCTCTATCCCTCCGCCTTCCCTCCCTTCCATGCGTGACGGGGCTCTGTCCCAGAATGCTCCGATCCACACTGTGGAAATTACCGCGGGCTGTTGATGAAAGCGGCAGATCGCCAGAATAATAATCAAAAATGCCCACCATAGAAACATATCCTCTTCATGTGTAGAACCTACATGTAGTTTTACACCTATCAAGGCAGCTCAAGTCCGCTCCGCGAGTTGCGCGTGCACAGACAGTAAGCTCTCGGCCTTGATATACATGTAGCTACATGTATTCATAGCAGCTTGTCGGAAGTAGATCGGAAACTCTACTATGTCCCGTCTTAATCATCTGAACACACGGTATTACGAATGTATTACGGGTAAAAGCAGAAAAAGCTTATGTAGATAAACTAGAATCTTATGGATCTAGATGTACATACATTGTATAAGTATATTTATTATCGTTTGGATTGAATTCTGGTGTTGGTTCATGGAGCCTAAAATCACCAAAGGAAACATTTACTTTGGGTCTCATGTTGGTACTCTTTGTCTCGCTAGGTAGATAAGGATGCGGGCCTGGATTGGCCAACCTTTTGTGGCACTGTCCATCGAGCAATCAAAATAGAGTATGTAGTAGTACCATACCTATCGAGCAGAGGCTTCTACTCTTGGTCAGTACATGTACTTACATGTATGTTTACCGAATGATATCCAACATAAGTGGCACCGACAAACCAAGCAACGAAACCCCTTGGGACCTGGGAGTCTGAACTATTAGCCCCTACTGTTTCAGGCATAGACTTTTCTAGGCGCGTTCCCGGAGCTTACCGAAAATATCGTGGGAGGACCAGGTCGTTGGGGTATTATGACATGGATTCACAGTTCAGGGTTGTTACAGTTCATACTGCTACTTTGGATACAGCTTATATACATGTACCTATGTACTACATGTACCGGGCGTTGAGGGTAAATACGAAGAATCTGATAAGAGAATCTTGCTGTGAAATAGGTGTGTTTATCTTATCAGATTCTCGGTATTTATGGTTGACCCCCGGTACATACCTGATATGTAGGTTACTTCTTAACGACTCCTAGATCCTAAGGACCCATCGCGACATAGGATGTATTTTGTCAGTTACTAGCCTATCAGGCACTGCAGGCCAGGGCGTTATTGATTAGCAAAGCCACAGAAACCAACACCTTGGCACTTAGTGGCCCGAACTTGTATTGTAGAACCTACTTCTTACAAATGGCATATCAATTATCTATCACTCAAGCATGGGTCCTGGATTCCTTATCGGCAGCGCGCCAGATAAAGGGAAACCTTCAATTTTGATAAAGAACGGCTTAAGGGGCCTAACCTGATCCATGTTGTTTAAATGATCACGCTAGCTCGCCACAGCACACGACCCCTACGAAATACGAATTGTCTTTACTCTAGGCAAAAGCCAAGCCCATCCTTATAATTGCATGCATGCCGGTACAGACCCGACGTTACCCAGGCCTTGGTGCAAAATGGAGTTACAGATTACTCAGACCTAAAGTGACTATATGCACCTGTCTCATTCCCTCTATCCAGGATGATAATCCTTCATGATAAGTCTCGCAATTAAGCGTCTCTTGGAACTCGAAATGCCGTGAAGAAGAAGAAGAGTTATACTTACTTCTGGGGGACATGAAGTCAGGAACCTATAGCATCTCAGATTTAACCCGTCTAGGATAATTCCATGTGCCTAAACGGCAAAGCTCCGCAAACACAGATATCAGACACCGCCTGGGAATATCCCTGATATCTTCCGAAGTATATGTTTTCTTTCTTCCGAGATCTTGGTAGGGGATTTTAGGTGAGTATAGTTGTTGGTTTTGCCTTTCCTTAAACCAAATTAGTACATTTATATTTACACGTGTATATCATAAAACATGAGTATATTATCATCAGCCCAAGATTTACATCGTGTCAACTTATGAACGGTGCCTAGGCCTTGTAAGTTTACGCAAACATCCCATTCCATACCGTGATTCGTGGGGTGTATCGGAAGTATAGAAAATGGTTTCTACTAGCACTGTACCCAGCTAGGATCCGGACTACTGATTGCATTCGAAAGGAATGAAAGCCTATACGAACACGTACCTACATCGGCAGATTCAGCTGATCAGTCAGCTGTTCCAACGCTTGATCGTCATGGATCACGGTATCACAACATGAGAAATGACGCACAAACAATATCCGTCTCAAGATCTTAGCACCTCGGTGAGTTTCTAGCTGCGTTTTAAGGTGTCCAAAAGCAGAGTGAAATATAACATTACTGTGCTCTAGCGAGTAGAGTACATACATGTATACGTATGGATATATGCACATAGAAAGATTGGACCATTGGCCAATTTAGTGTTCTATATATGGATAGTGCGTGCACAAGGAAGTGATTACTTATGTGGTAGTGCGTCTGGGTGAATCGCGATAACACATGCATAAAGGTATTTTTGCTTGACTTGTCTGGCATCCAACTCATATCTCATCCATAGCCTCGATATAATTATAATCTCTTTGCCTGTATGCCATACCATAAAGTAGTCTCATTTGAATACATGTATCTGAGCTTCCTAAGCCACATATATGAAGTACTTTATATAAGGCCAACTCTAGCTAGAATTGCGAGATGAATGGTATGTACATGTAGTTACTAATACACTGCTAGCTTCCAAGGCCAGTATGTTGAATGCCAGCTGTTTCCCTGGACCCATACAGGCTGGTTTGAGATTTGCTGTGCATGTTCACCGTTAAGGAGCGAATATACTACTAGCTACATGTAAGTAATCTGCAGCCAATTCCAGTAGGTAAACATGAGCACGAGCTCTTCTTTCTAGCATCGGATCCTGTGTCTTGTATATTGCACCTATGGCCTAAAGCTAAGGAATCATGCTATTTCTGGAGAATATAACATGTATATATATGGTATTCGACTGACGCGTAGTGTCCTTACGCCAGTATTATATTCAGCCTTGTCTACGAGGCCTCGTCAGCCCTACATAGATCTACATCCAGATACAAGTATTTATTTATTCCCAAAGACACGCGCGGTAAACAAGACTTGCGTTTTCTCTTGTTTTTCCTCCCGATCCCCACAGTGGCAATGCAGGCAAGTTAGACTTATTTATTTACCTTGAGATATAGATTCCAGGAACTCATGAAGCTCCAGGATCTTGTGGCCTCTCGGGTTCAAGGTCTGGGTGGGCCATTGGCCTTGCCCCAACTACGACACATGGCACTTGTTGAAGGGCCCAAGACCCTAAGTAAGCCGGATCAAGCATCGATACCCTGCACTTTCACAAAAAAGGTGAGGAACTGACACCTATCACTTAAGCTCATTTGAGATGTCAAGTTATGAATCATCGTGCATGTCGCAGAGAACATATGTATATACATATGGAAAGTCTTCAACGGCTACTAGCTCGACGCGCTCCTGGGTAGGGTGCAGAAACTCTTCCAACGGTCTGCCTACAACGTCAGTCGCATACATTTATATTTAGGTCCAGCCTAGCTAGTACAGTATGTTCGGCTGATACACTCTTGTAGAGCTCAGAAAAATCGGAATAACGTTTGGTTATGAAATTGTAAAGGCGTTAGATCATGATATCTCACTCGAGTGCATCCTATTACTAAGATACATAGTAGAATATCCCCAATATGGAATCGGCAATAGGTACTATTTGTAAGTACATGTAATTATAAAGATACATGTACTTCCTCTTAATCCAATTTATACCCAGATAATCAGGGGATAAATTCTTGAATGAAGTACACCCGGTTGATTCTTTAGTTGATCATTAACATATATGTTATACTAGATCAACTTACACCCATTATAGCGCACGGAAGTCATTACTTGCAATTGTAGGGTCTAACCGATTTATAATTATGGGTACGAGCTCGAGTCTCTATATATAGCCCTAGTTGCCTAACGGTGTGCGAAGTTCCGAAGTTTACATTGGCGTGCGTATGTGTGTACAGTGCGTTGATCATGAACCATGGAACCAAGAAGCTTGCTGTACTTAGGAGATGGTATGAGACTACCATGCATGGAACTGGAATGATGTATATACGTACATGTACTTTGGCTTTAGATCAATAGATCCATAATATATTTCAATGTACCCAGGGTGTTGGAAAGTGATGCACATTTTGGCCTGGCAACGCCAAATTACCCCAAATACCTATATTTTGGCACAACGAAAAACGCTCCCTAAATTAAAACTTCGAGTGTAGGACATCTCTGTAATGCCTAAGAATACATTTAGTGTTATTTGAATGTGGAGTAACCATTCTTCAGGCAAGAAGTCACTATTAGATAGCCAAAACCAGTAGTAAAAACTCAAAAAGTATCGATGACAGACCCTCCCACCAATTTTTTCATTATGAAGGGAATCCGCACACTTTAATTGACCTCAAGATAGACTTGTGTGAAGATTAATTCTCTCATGGTTGAGATATCACCAAATGTGCATCATTTTCCGACACCCTGGGTACATACAAACTGCCCAATTGCAGTATTAGTCATATTGTCACCAACATTTACATCTAATATATAGGTAACATATTTTCTGATTCCTAGACTATAGGCAGTTAAGTGAACACAGTACCCAAATTAAAGATGACATTAATTCATCTTATATAACTGTACGCGTACGCCTCCGGACCGAATGAAAGAAAAACGAAAGTGAGAAGGGAGCAAAGAAAGCCATAGAGGTAGAGAGAGCTGCAAAGACGTTCAAAAAGATGCCGAGACTATAGTAATAGGTGCAAAAAAAGATTGCGCTAGTACTAGTGAAAGAACCAATTAAACGCGGATCTACCCAACAAGAAGTGAGTTTGACTTGGATGTCTCTTTTTCCAAAGCCGGAGGTACTTCAGATTGCATATATGATTGAAAAGTACTCCAATTATATCTGTATATAGAACAGATAAATCAGTTGCAGATAAGTTTTGGAGTCTCATATTGCGCACGAATACATAAAGCATTTGACCCAGTCAGACCTAGAAACAAGTCGTATCCCTTCGTTTGTACATCCCCCCCGCGATTCACTGAAAAATCTAATAGTAGTACCAGAAGAGGGAAAGAGGCGGTCACCGTTAGCTTTGTGACCTCCTCTTTCGAATCATTAACACCAAAGCTACTCCGAAGGGATATTGAAATGTGGGCCCGCGGTTAGTAGATGTGAGACTTTTCCATGGTTCAAAGTAGCTTTTCTATGTTTACACACGTATTTGTGCGACCGTAAACATCATTCAGCACTACATACGTGTATGGCTGTTGTGGCTCTTGGTTGCAAAAATCTCCTATTGTGAATAAAGCTTAATTCCGCCAACCATTACGTGCCCATAGTTACTACAGTCATGAGTATTTACCTTATATCAGGTATCCCTTTAAAAATATGTGACCCTGCTGCGCTCAACTGAGGCGTCTCCGCCGTCAATTACCTGAGCTCAATCAAGTGTCGTAAATCCTTTGATAACGGAGGTCGTGAATTACTGGAGCGAACGAAGGAATTGCTCTCTCAGTACCTGGGTCTATTTCTAAAAATCACCTCTTGGCGGCGGCCTAGGCATGTATTTAGTAGGTAAGCTGAGCTTTACCTACTCGTAACTTCCTGACGTTTTTGAACGCGACTGATATTGCATACCATACAAAAATACGCCAAGACCCTGATTTTGGGTGTGTGCAATAGTGGCCCAGTCCAAAAACGCCAGGAAACTACGAGTACTGTAGATGCATATTGTATATAGAGTATGCCGGTTTGCCAAGTCCAAAAATTTATGATAGCAAATTGCTTTTGCAGCAAGCAAAAAAAAAAAAAAAAGAGGATCTCGTACGGGACAGCAAGGGATCCAGGGTATTGAGTTTCGGCATAATTAAAACGAGTTGCGACTGTAGATGTTCTGTCTGTATTAGAGTATATAGTAGTGCAGGCTGTTACCTACATAATATTTGGAGGCGACAATACAGGGGTATCCTGCGGCAATCCCCCCAGACCCCACATGTCCACGACATCCAAGACATAAACGACATCTCTTGCTCAGCAGCGCAGCTACACGCCCCAGCTCCAACCTTGTGAAAAACTCCCTATGTTTGCCCCACAAGCCTCTAGATATCCATTGTCTATATAATTTTTTCTATTATCGTACGTCAAAGGATCTAACGTTGTAACACGCTGTAGCAACATTTGCACTGATCACGACCACAAGTCAGTTTATCGGTTGAAACTCGGCTACTTTGTATACTTTGTGTTGTTCTCTACATCGCCATTGCCCCAGTAGTCATGACTACTGGTTCGGCCAGAGAAGCGGAGGTTGAATCGTTCACCCCACGCGGCGTTCAGTTTGCTACCGAAGTTCATCACCAGGAAAGCCCTATGAATGGGATGGCACGAGCACAGCTATCACAGCTTGATGGCTCTAACTTGGAAGATTCTCAACACGCCCCATATATGCGGTCCCAGTACGATGATCTGGATGGCGAGGAGGATATGATTCCTGGAGATGAGGATGCTGTTTCTCCGATTCGCAACGGCTCATTCGCGTCCTGGAACACTAGCACCAGGCCTCGGGGAGGAAGTAATTCCCTACCTTACGCTAATAGTGTTGACAATACTGGAAGATTGTCTCCGGAAAGTGTTCCCACTCCCGCTACTCGTCTCCAGCGACCATCTGGCCCAATACGAACACCATCTAATACCTATGCTCCTGTACGACATCCAATAAGCCACCTTAACACCCAGTCGCGAAATCGAACGCCTGCTACCAATCCTTCTCGGCGTGGTGACCCTAGTGCTTTATACAAATCGCAGGAGAAGGCATATGTCCAACGACTTCGTCAGGACCCTAATAGCGACTATTTCAACTCCTCGTCAAATATATTGACCTATCCTGTTGACCTGGATATGATGGATGACGAGTCACCATCTTCAGAAGTTCATTTCGACAATGATATATACGATGGGGACACCTTATTATTATATGGTCACGATGAGATGGAACCCTCGGCAGAAGAGCTTAAAATTCCAGAAAACAGAGAGCGGTTGGAATGGCATTCGATGTTGGCCTCAGTGTTGATGGGAGATGTGGTAAAGCAGGAGAAGAAACGATTAATTGGAAATACAGAGGAGAAGGAAGGCCTAACTATGAAGACGGAGCTTTTTGTTGGAATCCGAGCAAAGATCTGTGGTCGATCAATTCCGGCTCAAAGGAGGATACTTGATGAAGGACGGACCAAAGTGGACGATTTGATAGACAAGATAATACGATTCGAAATCCAGGGCAAAGACAAGACTCAAATGCTTCCACGGGCACAAGTGCAAGATATAATTGAAAAGTGGGAAAAGTGTGAGCAATTGTGGCCAACGAGGACTGCTATGATAGAAGAAAAGCCTGCATCCGGATCCCCGGCGTTTGCTGCCAGCTGGGATGCAATTGTTTCCTGGCATAATATCACGGAACTCATTAATACCGAGCTCAAGATCCTTCAAAACTGGGTCGGAAACGATGACCTTGATTTCGGTCGCCAAAATGTTATTTCAACTAGCGATGCTAATGGTATCGATCGGGAAGCTTCATTTCTTGATCGCATCTTGAAGGAGGATAATCTGAAATCACTGATTGGTGATAGTAATATGCTCATTGGACTGAGCTCTGTCATCGGAAAGGCAAAGAAAACTTTGATAGAGTATGCAGATGCTTTCGAGAAGCGACATCTTCCGCCATATGTCGAAGAACTGCTTGTTCTAATCGGTTTCCCTACGCGGCTCATTGAAGAGGTCATTGGGATGCGTTTGAAATACGCCGAACGGATGAGAGAGCCAGTATCTATGATGACAGATCAGCTAATAATGCAGTTTCAGTCTGTCCTGCAACTGGCAGTGAAGATCAAGCAAGAGTATACCGTCATTTCCGAGCCCGAGCCTGGGTGGGACTTGCCACCTTGCATGGATGAAAATTTTGAGCAAGTCGTGCTACAAGGGTTGAGATACTATTTCAAGCTCATAGGTTGGAGGATCGGATCGAACAAGAATACGTTCAAAGAAGCCGAAATTCTTGAGACCGAATGGCATTTTTCGAACGAGATTGGTCGTTTTATTGAGGGAGGAGATGTTGAGGTTGCCGAGCAGTTTAGGTGCGCTGCGTTTAGCTCTATCTCACAAATCCAGTTATGGTTATAGTGTCTAACAATCTTTAGTTCTCTAACGAGCAAGCTTTTGAGTCGTTTGATGGGCCATTTCGAGAAAGAGCTTCAAAAACCACCAGAAAACAGGGGCGAGGACATTAGTAAACGCTACAAGCAGACTTTAGACTCAGTCCGCGTTCGCCAGAGAAAGTTATTTCGATTTGCAAGGTGAGCTCAATTTTGTTGAATGTGCACTCTACTGAGCTGACTCCATACGTGTAGGCTTCTGAGCCAGCGGTTTGAGAACGCAACAGAATATAGTGTTGAAAGATTCAAACTAAGAAGACTTGTGGATTCGTTGATTGAGTCAGGCCACTTCTTGGTTTATACAGCGAGTGTTGAGCACGAAGGAGTATATCTAGTGGCCGATCCATCTCTATATGATCGATCTCATCAAATTCAGTCCATCCTTCGAACATGTTTTCACGATGACGTCGTTAGAGACGACCCGTCATGCCCCTATATTTTAGTTATCTATCCCCAGGATGAGCTGCAATGGGATGGCCGCATACTGAGTGTCGATATGAAAGAGCCAATTGTCGATATCAAGCCTGGAAGAATTCGATTGGTCGCCGATGGTTCTCAGGCTAGGCTTGCGAACGCTCGCATTGCTTTCGATCACTCTACGGGCCACAACCTCGATATATTGATAGAACAACGAGCCAATCTTCCCCGGGTTAACCAGGAGTTGATGAAAATCAAAAAGACCACTTACCGGCTCTCCAACACCATTATGGACAGTGTGGAGAAAATTCGACGACAAACCATGGGCCTGGGGTGTCAGGAGCTCATTCAAACTTGTTTTGCATTCGCGACTGAGTTCGGTCAGCGTTCTGTTCTTTACATGGATAACAACCGAAAGGCCATGAACAATCTCAAGCTCACTCGTCTTGCAATTGACTGGGTTAGCTTCATCTGTGATGACTGTGTTGCTTCTAACCGTATGACCTTTCGATGGGCAGTGAAGGCTCTCGAGTTTGCGATGGTCATGACTCGTGGCCAAAACATATTGTCTTTTAGCGAGTCAGAGTACGAAAGATTACGCTCTAAGGTTGGCGGGTGTATGTCACTGCTCATCTCGCATTTTGATATCATGGGTGCTCGATCAACGCTTGCCGCCCAGGCCGAAAAACAGCGAATGGAGGTTTTGGCAGGCTCCTTGAAGGGTGTAGACCTTGGAAAAATGATGGAAGATAACGAGGCAGCTGAACGTGTGCGGGGAGAGTGGCTGCGGCAACTCACGGAGATCGATGATGTCCGTAAGAATCTCATGCGTGAACGACAAGCTTTAGGAAGGGTTCTCGACGATAGCAATCAAACGGACAGATCACTAACATCACTTTCAAAATCGTCGTTTTCTAACGTATCCTTACGTTGGCAACAGGGTCAGTTTGTTGGTGGAGGCACATTTGGTACGGTATATGCGGCGATGAATCTGGACTCGGGTTACTTGATGGCCGTAAAAGAAATTCGGCTTCAAGACCCTCAGATGATTCCGCAGATTGCCAACGCAATTCGCGAGGAGATGCAAGTCCTAGAATTATTGGACCACCCAAATATCGTCCAATATTTTGGAATCGAGGTTCATCGTGATAAGGTGTGCCTTTTTATGGAATATTGTTCCGGCGGTTCTCTTGCAGGGCTCCTTGAGCACGGCAGGATTGAGGACGAAACAGTTATCATGATCTACGCCCTTCAGATGTTGGAAGGTCTTGCGTATCTACACGAAAATGGGATCATACACCGTGATATCAAGCCCGAAAGTAAGCTATTTCTCTGGGTACAAACCCTTTTCCTGGGTCGATGCTAAGATATGCACCTAGACATTTTGTTGGATCACAACGGCATCATCAAGTATGTTGACTTTGGCGCCGCCAAAGTGATCGCAAGGCAAGGAAAGACTCGAGGAGCAGGGACTGCAGCCTTGAAAACAAAGCTGAACAGTATGACTGGTACACCAATGTACATGTCTCCTGAAGGTAGTTACCCTCGAATATATTACGTTATCTTCCAGAAATCTCGCTGACATTCGACAGTTATCACGGGGACCGACAAAGGCCGACATGGCAGTATTGACATATGGTCTCTAGGTTGTGTTGTCCTCGAGATGGCGACTGGCCGTAGACCGTGGGCGAACCTTGACAATGAATGGGCCATCATGTGGAACATTGCTGGCGGTTCAGCGCCTCAACTGCCAGCCTCGGATCAACTTAGTGAGCCCGGGATTGACTTTCTGAAGAAGTGCTTTGAGAAAGATCCTGCTGTTCGACCATCAGCTGCCGAGCTTCTTCAACATGAATGGGTATGTATTTTGCGCTCTCGCGCTCACTTTTTGGGATTGCAATGACTGACATGTCACGTGGCTGTAGATTCTTACCATTCGCAACCAAGTGATTGAGCCTTCTACACCAGCCTGAGACACCTCGTCGCAAAGCGGCCGATGAAACTTGAGAATAAGCCGCTAGAGTTCGTTGGTTTGGGGGGGGGGGGGGGCGGGGCGCCTGTTTCTTTTTTCTTTTCTTATGCAACATTTCCATCCATCTTCTTGGCAATACCTTTTATGTCGTTTATAATGTTGGGGCTTGGTGGCAAACGGTTTGGGGGGGCTGCAATATGATATATGTGACCGCAGACCACGTATATAATGACCGAGCTTTTTTTTTCTTTCTTTCTTTTCAGACTTCTGTTCTAGGAATCTATCGCACTATATCATTGATAGCACTTTTGTTCCTCTCTCTGTGTTTGTGAATTGATTCACACACAGACGCACACACACATACATGGGCTTTCTCTCCATCTCCATCCCTCATCTTCCGAGTAAAGCAAATTAAAGTTAAAGTTAACGCAAATCTCAACAGAAAGAAAGCAAAAAAAAAAAGAGCGAGAGAGAGAGAGAGAGAATAAAAAAGAAAAGAAAAAAAAAAAACTCTAAATATTAATTTCTTTTGTCTAGTGGATAACACGATACTCTGTCTGTCAGTCCAGTCCAGTCCAGTCCAGTCCTCCAGGCTTTTTTACTTCGTAAGCTCTCTGTTTCCCCTTTTCCCGGTCTTCCCCCCCCGTATTTTACTATACAAAAAAACTACATACAGGTCAATTCACTTCAATTCGTGTCATTTCGTTCGTTCAATTCATTCGTTTCATTGCTCGAGAGAGAGAGAGAGGTCATCACGGCTGCTTGGGATCATTAAAAACGGCGGCGACAATCTCGTCGACGATGGTGTAGATGATGGATGTACTGGGTCCTGTCAGCTCTATAGTAGACATGTAGTGGTCTGGGATAAGGAAGAGGAAATAAATGAAAAGAATGCAATAAACTCACTTCAAACGCTGGTTATTAAACGCAGCAAAGAGTCTCCGCCCGGCGGCCTGCGCATTAGCTCTCCCCACCACACTCGCAGCCACATCTACGCACACCCATCAGCACCACCCAACCACAAAACCAGACACCAAGAAAGGAAAAAAAAAACTCACCAGGCAACAAAGTCGCCAACATAACCCCCGCCTGCTCCCTCGTCCTCGCCCTCTCCTTCGCCGTCCTCACCTTCTTCTCCGCCCCGGGCACCAACGCGTCCCTCAGCATCTTCACATACCCAATAACACTCTCCTCGCCCGTGACGACCCTCACCTGCTCGCGCGCCTTCCGCTCAATCGTGCCGCCGAGCAGCTGATGCAGCACGACCACGACGGCCCTACCCCGCAGCCACCCGCTGCGCCCGCGGTTGAGCTCAAACACCTCGAGGAAGAGGTCGCAGATGGGCTTGACGAACGGCTCGACCTCCTTGTCCTCGAAGGCGCTGAGCTCCTTCTCGGCCTCGGCCGCGTCGACGCGCGCCTTGGCCGACGACGACGACGACGCGGCGTCGGTTGGTAGTGGTGGGAGCGTGCCGAGGACGTCTTCCATCCCGTCGGCGAGCGTGCTGTAGAGGCGGCTGATGATGTCGCTGCCGCTGGTGCCGTTGGTGGTGCGCCGGGAGGAGGGGGAGCCCGGGAGTGCCGGGGCGATGCTTTGTTGGCTGAGGAAGGCGCGCAGCTCGCGGGAGCGGCAGACGTCGGGGATGAGGAGGACAGACTAAATAAAATCTACATTAGCACAACATAGCCACAGGTAAGAAGACAGGGAGAAGACACACCTTGAGGTACTTCTCCAGCGCGACCCTCCGCTTCTCGAGAAAGTCCTTCTGGAGCTTCATGACCACGCGGCGGCGGGGGAAGTCGAGCGCCTTGACCGAGTCGAAGCGGGCGCGCAGGGCCTGGTTGAGCTGGAAGAACTCGCTGTAGCGGCGGGCGACGGCCCATTGCGCGGCGGGCAGCTGCTCGCCGCCTTTCCGCTGAACCTCGATGATGTCTAAAGGTCAATGATCGTTAGTGCAGGTTTTTGGTATAGGCCGCGTAGCCGGGATTGGGAGTGGTGGAAAGGCTGCAGATGAGCGAGAACAGTAAGAGGGAAAGGCTGCAGGTGAGCGAGAACAGTAAGAGGGAAAGGCTGCAGATGAGCGAGAACAGTAAGAGGGAAAGACTGCAGGTGAGCGAGAACAGTAAGAGGGAAAGGCTGCAGGTGAGCGAGAACAGTAAGAGGGAAAGGCTGCAGATGAGCGAGAACAGTAAGAGGGGAAAGACTCACACAGCGCGTACTCCTGGCCGTTCTCGTTGCCGACCATGGTGCTCTTGATGCGGATCGTGGAGCGTCCCTGCAGACGGTTAGCACCACCCACCGCCACAGCAACAACTGAAAAACACAGAAACTTACAAACAACCCATTATCACTCTCCTGCACAATATACATCTGCCTCTGCAGCTCCTTCCTCCGCACCTCCCTCTGCAAACTCGCCAGACTCTTCCTCAAGATCCTCAACTCAACAACATTCCCCGTCAGCTCCGCCTTCCGCAGCAGACTCTCCACCACCGCCTCCTGCCCCCCCAGCTTCCCAATATCAAAGCTCAGCGCACTAATCGCCTCCGCCAACCCCAAGTCCCCGGGCGCCGCCTGATGCACAACACCCTCCTCATCCTCCTCGCCGCCCGAGTCAGACGCATACTCGGGCGCATCCTCATCCGGGAACAGCTCGTCCGCGAAGACCGCATCCCGCGTACTGCCCCCCACCAGGCCCAGCGAGCTGATTGACGGCGGCTTGGCGGCGGTCTTGGGCTTGGTCGGCTTGGTGCTGGGCAGGGGGCCGAGGCCCAGGTCGATGCTGCTGCGCGGGGAGCTGTTGGTGTTGTCGTCGCGGGTGAGCAGGGCGTCGTCGCTGGTCGGGCGCGACTCGATGATGTCGTTGAGCGCCGCCTCCATGGCCTCGACGATGCCCTTCTCGGGCGTGCGGTTTGCGCTGCCGCGGCGGTCGTCGAGCGAGGTGCGCGAGCCGCTCAGCGCCGCGTCGGGGTCCCAGTCGTCTAGCTCTGCCCGCGCGCCGTCGAGGGAGTGCCGCGACGAGCTGAGGGAGTCGTCCATGGCGGCGGTGGCGGTGGTGGTGGTGGTGGCGTCCGTGGGCGACGATGTGCCGGGAGCGGTGTCAGTCCAGCTGCTGCTGCGGTGTAGGTCTGTCGTGCCCGTTGCCGCCGCCGTGGCGGAGGCGCCCGCCTCGTCCGACGCAAGATACTTGTAGAACAGGCCGCTCGCGCGAAAGTCCACAAAGTCCTTCTTCTGCATCTCCTCAAAGACGCCCGTCTGCGCGCGCAGGATGGCCGCGCGGGCCTTGACGTACTGCGCCTGGGTGGCCTTGCTGCCGGCGGCCAGGAACTCGCGCACGGCGGCTTTGGAGCGGTCGCTGATGTGCAGCTCGGGGAGCGAGAGGTAGGCGTCGTGGATCTGGGCGAGGTCGGTGCGGTCGGTGGGCGTCCAGGGGGCGATGGAGGTTGTGGTGGTCGAGACGGACTCGCACTCGCTGTCGCTGGAGGTGATGTCTTCTTCGAGGGGGTTGCGGAGGCCGTCGACGACGAGCCAGAATTGGACGTGGGCGAGGTGCTTTTGGCGGTCCATGTGTTCCTGTGTATAGTAGTAGTAGTAGTAATTAGCTGTTTTACTCCTAGAGGGCGGGAGCTGTAGAGCTGCAGATGCAGGAGTGAGTGTAGCAGTGAGTGCAGGAGTGCAGGAGTGCGAACATACCATGAAATACGACAGCCCCGCCGAGTCCCTCAGCACCTGGTCCAGCGTCGCACTCTCCAACCGACTCGGCGCCTTCCTCCCGCCGCCCACAAACGTCTCACTCATACTCCTCAGCGGGCCCGCCCCGCCCGGCCCCGGCCCCGGGCCCGCCCCCGCCGACGACAGCGACAGCGACAGCGACGCAACCTTCTGGTCCACAACGCGCTTGCCCGTCTCGAGGCGCTTGAGATACGCCGCCCACGCCTCGTTGCCCTCCACGCGCCCGTCGCGCTTCAGCTGCGCGCTGATCTCGTTGCGCAGCCGCCGCGCGTCGCTCAGGTTCGTGCACAGGCGGATCGAGCGGATGAAGCGCTCGAACGTGCGCTCGTCGTCTTTGGGGCCCAGGCGCACGAACGGCTTCTGCTGCTGCTGCTGCTGCTGCGCGTGCTGGGTCGTCGAGGACGCCGACGCCGAGGAGCGCTTGGTGGCTGCGGGCGTGGCGTGCTGGTCGAGGGCGGCGCGCAGCTTGCGCACGGTCTTGCGGTCTTGCAGTGTGGAGCGGCCCTAGACACACGCGCCTTCCCATTAGCCAACTCCCGCAGACGCAGACGCAGAGGAAGCGCGATGGCAACCTACGATCGCCTCGACAAACATGTTCCAAAAGTCCGGCTCCGCCAGCATGGCCATGACAGGCGCGAGCACGGCGCCCGCGACCAGCTCCCGCACCAGCACGCGCACGATCGGCGAGTCCAGCTCCTCGGCGGGCAGCAGGTGCGGCAGCACGCGCTCGACCAGGCGGCGCAGATGCTCCGTCTGCGCGGCGCGCGTGTCCGAGTTGCGCAGGCTGGCGGCAGGGTGGAGGCGGCCCTCGCGGTACTTTGCTGCGATGGCGAGGTCGAGCTCGGCGCTCTCGGTGAGGTTCTTGTTGAGGTGCTTGCCGCGGACGAGGCGCTCGGCGGCGGAGAAGTCGTGCAGGTGCGCGGTGAGCAGGGGGACGATGCGCGAGACGGTGATGGAGACAAGGTCGAGGGGGACGAGGCGGGCGTGCAGGGTTTGCAGGGCGTGGCGGAGCGTGCGGTCGAGGTGGGTGGGGAAGGAGGGGTCGGGCGTGATGGGGCGGTACCAGGAGGTGACGAAGGTGCGCAGGATGGTGTCGAGGAGGGTGTCGAGCGTGTCGGAGAGGAGGAAGGAGGGCGGGTGCAGCGGCGTGCGATGGAAGGTGTCGGCGGCGGTGAGGGCGGAGAGGGAGGCGGTCCAGTGTGTGGGGTGCGTGAAGGCGAGGGGCTTGATGGTGCGGAGGGCGCTGGTGGGGGGGTGTCTGTTGGCGGTGAGGGCCAGCAGGGCCAGCAGGCCGAGGAGGGTGCAGGCGGCGCCGAGGAGGAAGCTCCAGAGGAGGTAGCGGAGCGGGGGGAAGAGGCGTGCGCCGAGGGCGAGGAGCAGCGAGAGGGCGAGGAGGGTCGGGAGGAGGCGTGGTGGGGAGCGAGGCATCGAGGGGCCGTTCCTTGCATGCGGTGGGAGGGAGGATGGGGAGATAGATCTGGAGGGGGTGGGGGGGTAGATGGAGGTGAGGCAGAGGGGGGGGGGTAGATGGAGGTGAGGCAGAGGGGGGTAGATGGAGGTGAGGCAGAGGGGGGGGGTAGATGGAGGTGAGGCAGAGAGAGAGGGGGGGCAGTTGATAGCTCTATCGCAGTGTTGCAAGCGGTGAGATTCGTGAGATGTGTGTGGGCAGCACGTGTTGACGTGGTCAGATTAAGGTGTGGCCCAAGCTTAGCTTCCTTCCTTGTCAGCTGGCAGGGACGGGCGGCCGGCGTCGTTTCAGTTCTGCGCGGGGCCAATCACGAGCAGCCAGTGAGGAGTCTGCGTTTCTCTTACGTACGGGCAGGAATATTAGTATTCCACGTGCGGGCGGGGGGTGTGTGTGGGGAGAACCGAGATCCCTGCATTCGGGTGGTGCTGCACACAAGGGAGGGGAGGAAAGGAAACACACCCGGGCCCGCCCACCCGCTGTCACTCGCTCACTCCCTCGCTTACGCAGGGACAGACTCTCACACACTCACTCTCACTGGCACGGGCACGCACTCAAACACTCGCACACACCCGCGCTTCTAATAAGGAATCGAATTGGATATACGGCTATGCTATCTAAACTACAGTACGAAAACCCCCCCCCCACTACTTCTCAAACTCATACCCCCCGCCCCACCTCACCCTCTGCCCCATCGCCGCATCCAACAGCCAATCCGTCTTCACCACCACCGGCGTGGCCCCCGCCCCCTTCACCATCCTGCCAAACGCGCCCCACAGCTTCCGATCCCCCTCCTCATCACTACTCAGCAGCACCCACCTCTCCTCCCCCCCAGTCTCCGCAGCAACCACCCGCTTCGCCATCCGAAACGCCACACACACACCCCCATTCGCCTCCACAATCTTGCGATACGTGTCGAAGCCGCCATGCACATTCGGCGCGCAGTAGATGGTCTGGCCCGCCAGCAGCTGCCCGGCGTTGGCCCGCGCGCGCGACAGCGACTCGGAGAGCCGCATGTTGAGCTTCTGCTCGCCGGCGGGGTCGTGCAGTAGGTGTAGGGCTGTGTCGGCGATGGAGGATGTGGATAGGCAGGCGCCGATCCATGATGTCGAGACGATGATGGGCGCGCGGGCGAGGGCGCAGCAGAACTTCTCCGTGCGCACGATGTGCGGCGCCGCCAGGTGGGTGCAGACGGAGGGGTCGGCGACGCACTGGATGCCGAGTGCTGCTAGGCCTCTCTGTTATCACTATCAGCATAACTCCCTATAGATGCTGACGCAGAAGACAGATGCAGAGAGACATACCTTGTCGCTCTCCTCCCTCCCCGGATTCTCCACCCAGCCCTTGTACGCCGTCAGCAGCAAAAACACCTTCGGCTTGACCCTCTTCCCCGCCGCCACCTTGACCTTCTTCGCGCCGCCGGCCCTCCCCTCCTCCTCCTCCTCGCTGCCGCTCTCCACGCCCACCGACGCCCGCTCGCCAAAGCTCCCCGTGCGCCGCTTCCGCCCCGTCCCCATCACCCCGCCCTTCCGCTTCAGCTCCTGCTGGTACTTCATGACATCGGGCATGATCGAGTCGTGCAGCCGCGCCGCCGCCGCCTCCTTCGCCTTGCGCCCACTCGACGACACCGATAGCGGCGTCTCAATGTCTCTGCTCCACCGCGACGGCGTCGACACCCTCTGCCGCTGCCGCTGCTGCTGCTGCTGCGGCGGCGGTGCCTTCCGCTCACTAATCGCCAAATCGCTCGCCCCCTTCACCACGGCGTCCTCCTCGTCGTCCCCATCAACACTCATCGCATCCCCGCCCCCGCCCCCCCCCTCTTCCTCCTCCCCCTCCTTCTCCAGCGCGCCCACATCCACCCCCGTCATGCCCACCACCTCCATAAGGTTCGTGCGCGGCGGCCACATCGCATACCGCCTATTCGCAAGACTCATAACCGTGCCCTTCGCATAGCACTCCTCGAGCCACAGGTGGTTGACCATGTTGATATTCCACTCCCTAGCCGCCGTACACTTCTCGCTGTGCTCCCTGGCCGTCACAAGATGCGTGTTCTCGGCCTTCATGCTCTTTGTGAAGCGCGCGCCGCACGCCTCGACAAGGTTCTCGAGGTACAGCCGCGCGTCGCCGCCGTAGTTGCTCACCGTGATGATCATGTCCTGCATCCCCGGCACGCCCGCCGGCGGCAGCGGAAAGTGCAGCAGCCGCCGCAGCGGCGACGCCCAGGCGCTGTGCGCGAAGATCCAGTACAGCCATGTCAGGTTGCCGATCTCGAGCCCGTGGCTCAACGCATACTTGTAGTCCGTCCCCGCGCGGAACTGGCACACGAGGACAGTGGCGTCCTCGACGACACCCACCATTGCGCCTCCGGCGCCCTGAATCACCTCTCCGAGGACGCCGCGCAGGCGCAGCGAGATGTCGAGGTCGGGTGCGAGAAAGACGGACTTTCCGTCGAACGCGGAGAAGGACGGCCTTGGGGTGGGCGGGTCCTCGGAGGCGCCGTCGAGCGTGGGCGGGCGGCGGTCGTGCGAGTAGGATAGGTCGGGCCCCTGCGGGAGGGGGATGGGGGCCGAGGAGGGGACGCGGGTGATCTCGGGGTCCGGGAGGAGGTAGGGGTCCTCTGGGATGCGGCGGGCGAGCTTGAGGCAGTCGTCGAACCAGTGGGGGAGGACGATCTTGACGTTGAGGTTCTTGCGCAGGGCTTGTCTGCATTTGTCCTATCTCTGTACATTAGTTACCTCCCCTCTCTCTCTCTCTCTCTCTCTCTCTCTCCAATGTACCATACACAAAAACAGAACACAAAGAACATACATTATCCATATTCAACGCCACCACATGCGTCGTAAACCTCGTGAGGTGCCCCGTATACTGGCCGCCCATCGCCACCACCCCGCCACAAATCGCCTCCTTGTCGCCCTCCGGCAGCTCCGCGACCGTCGCCATGACGCCCGAGAAGAAGAAGCGCGGGTCCGGGTTGTACGGGCGCACATGGACCATGCGGCCCTTGTCCAGCGAGGCCGTGACCCACGCGGGCGTCACGACGGGGATCATGAACCGCTCTGCCTCGGTGTAGCCCGGGAAGTCGACGGTGGTGCTGACGATGTGCGTTACGTTCGCGAGGTCGATGCGGATGTGCGAGTCGAGTGGGGGCGCGGGGGTGGCGCCGGAGGCGGTGAGGAGTTTGGTTGTCTGTGGAGGGGTGGGTTAGTACTGGGAGGAGGGGAGGGGGGAGGGGGGAGGGGACGTACGGAGGCGGCGAGAGAGGAGGGGAGGGTGTCGGAGGGGACGAGGTGGAAGACGACGTCGGCGAAGAGGGGGGGGGGCGCCTGGGGGCCTAGGTCTATGGCCGTGGTTGTGGCGGCGGGGGCGGGGGTCTCCATGTTGGCTGGGTGTAGAGCTCGCCCGGATTGTCTAGGTGTGTTCGTAGTGTTCGTAGTCTTCGTAGTCTTCGTTTGCAGTATAGTATCTATCTGTGAATATCTCCTGCAGAGAGATCTAGAGAGAGTGTGAGTGTCGAGCGTAGAGCGTTGGGTGTTGAATGTGAAGTGAAGTGAAAGTGCAGAACGAAGACAGCAGCTCTGACGTCCCAATGCCCAGAGAACGAAGAACCGGGAAGACGCGCCGGGAATGGGCAATTCAGGACAGAACTTTTTGCGGGAGGACGCGTGTGAGTCGCGCGATCTGATCCTGGCGCGTGGCGGTGCGACGGCGATTTAATTGGCTGAGTGCATGTAGTTAATTACTCACCGTGCAGGCCCTGGGACATGTGATGGATGGAGAGTGTAATTCAAATAGTATTTGGATATTGATATTGGTATTGCTCTGAGATAAATGTGGGTAGGGAGCTGCTGGCTGGGTACAGGATGGGAGACAGTCAATAGAATCGACGGAATGGCACAGAAGGAGAGACAACGATTGGCTGCAGCTGTGTAGCCGAGGGATCGTGAATGCCCCGCTACGGTTAAGAACGGTCTACACCATGGAATGGCATTGGGATGGAATTGACCATTGACTCCAATTGATAGTGATGCTATTCAACAAATCGTGAGACCGACCTGTAAAAGTCGACGGTCCACCCAACACCACCGATCACTCGCCTCACCCGGCCTAGCTAAGTAGCTCACCCCTGCCGCGGCAACCTTCGACCTCGGGACATCTCAAACATCTCGCAGCACATGCCCCAATAGCCAGTGTGCACGCACTCCCACCACAATGCCTTCTTCCCCTACCTCTCTCCCTCTCCTCTCCAGCTCAAGCAGCGGAAGCAGAAGAAACAGAACAAGAAGCAGTTAAACAAGAATGAATTCCCCCACCATGGCCTTCACCACAACAACCCACACCATCCCCGCCTCCTACCCCCGCGAGCACCTCCGCGGCACCACCCCCCACTCCCCCCGCCTCCACCTCGTTATAAACCAATACACGCCCCTCTCCGCCTCTCCCCCCTCGCCGGGGGACCTAACCCTCCTCTTCTGCCACGCCAACGGCTTCCCCAAAGAGCTCTACGAGCCCTTCTTCATCGACCTGCTGTCCACCTACAGCGCCAGCGGCCTGCGCATCCGCTCCATCTGGGCGCTCGACGCCGCGCACCAAGGCGCCTCCGGCATCCTCAACGAGCGGCACCTCGGCGACGAGCCCTCGTGGAACGACCTCCCGCGCGACATTCTACATGTCGTCAACACGTTTGCAGCGCAGATGCCGGCGCCGCTTGTGGGCGTGGGGCACAGCTTTGGGGGGCATGCAGTGGTGAAGGCGGCGCTGATGCATCCAGGGCTGTTTGAGGCGCTGGTGCTGGTGGACCCCGTGGTGGAGGAGAATGAGGTGTTCCCGCATGTGGCGATGCATCCGGCGGTGGCGTCGGCGCGGAGGAGGGATGTTTGGGGCGGGATGGAGGAGGCGGAAAAGTTTATTAGGGGGAGACCGTTTTATAAGCGCTGGGATCCGAGGGTGCTGGAGCTGTATCTGGTATGTGTGTGTTTGGCGGAGCGATGGGTTGGGACTGGATGGTGACTGACTGACCAACCGCCGGTGATGGGCAGAAATACGGCTTCCGCGCGCTCCCAACCGCAATCTACCCCGACGCCACCGGCGTCACCCTCGCAACCACAAAGCACCAAGAAGTATACACCTTCCTCCGGCGCATGCCTGACGGCACCTTCGGGCGTCCCGAGCCGGGCGTGACCTTCCGGGCGCTGAAGCAGCTTGTTCCGCCAGTCCTGTACATCGTCGGCAGCGAGTCGACGGTGTGCTTGCCGGAGGTGAACCAGCGGAAGATGGAGAACACGCCCAAGGCGGAGATGGAGGTTGTGGAGGGTGCTGGACACCTTGTTCCGATGGAGGCGCCAGGCGAGACGGCGGCGTTCGCGGCGAGGTATTTGGTGAGGCTGGTGAAGAGGTGGGGGAAGGAGGTGGAGAGGGATGAGGAGGTGGTGAGGGAGAGGGTGTTGGGGGAGGAGTGGTTGGGGTTGTTGGCGAAGTTGTAGATGGGATGGGGTAATTGTTAGTATTTTTTAGCTGGGGAGTTGCGTTGAGTTGAGCTGCAGCTTTTTTTGTTTTATTTTGTTTTCTGCGTCTGGATATATATATATGATGAGATAGTTTCCTCTTCAATCATAAATAGAGCGCCCAACTATCATAAACAGGATGAGGCACATGCTATATTCAACCCTTCCACTGGACTTTGAGCTCGAAGAGAGGTTTTGTGAGCAGTCCTCCGGCGGGTGCTAGCCCCCCCCAAGGCCAATCTCGACACACCACGATCGTATCCCAGCTAGCTGTAACATTAGCAGTCCGAATCCCGTAGCTAGACTTGCATCAATCCAAGCATCAAATTCCAACTAGAGAGTTAGTACAGCACCCGCCGTAAAGGACGTACATACTTCGGATCCAACATCTCATGAAAGTGCCACTTAATGTATGATAGATGAGAGAGAAAGAGTCCTCGAGCTACCCGTGAAGATATACCTGTAGTCTGGTATATCTGTCCTGCTTGAGCTTGTGTAGTGCTGAGTGTTCTCTCCACCTGCCACCACGTCGGTCCAAAAGACAGCAGAGTGATCTCGAGCAACGCAGAAGCGAAAACGCAACCTAAAAGCCAAACCCCTCCCACGTGGATGTGTGTATGTCCACAACAATCCAGAGAAGAGCCTCTGAATTTACTGCAACAAACACTCCTCCACGTCGGCGGTTGGCCGAAATTGGTATTTGAGATGGTGTCGGGGGGTCGATGGCGCTCTTTCGTATCAACTTTTCTCTTCCCCACCGGGCCCTGGCTAGCTAGCGTACCCGGGTGAGAAATAAATGAAGGCATGATTGATCAAGTGAGTTGGGTAGCTTGACGTTACGGCCGACAGTGCGCAGCTGGGCAACGCCCATCAACCCCGATGGTCCCGCAGCCCCAACCCCTACGACTACACAACCTCCCTCAAGACATAATACCACGTAGATGATGAATACACCACTATATACGCACCAATCAAGACACCGCCCCCCCCCCCCCCCCCGCGGGGGGCCAGGCCGGTAATGGACGCGATGCTCAGAACGGGCAAGTTGATCATAGACCATCACTCGCAGGCGCTAAATTCGCGTAGTCATCGAGTGATACTCCATGACTAACTCGCGCTGCGCGTGACAATTCCCCGGGGCTCACAGAGGGCACAAGTACTGCACCGCAGACAACAGATCCGACACGTTACATATACAAACAGGATCCGGGAAGACCCAATCTCCATGCCGGGTCCACCGGCGACTGCCGGTGCCGGGGAGAGGGGCGCCCTCAGCGAATTCTGCCATAGACACGCGCAATACCTCAACGCCACAAAACTCGTAATACCAATAGAGGGGGGATTGGCCACAACATAACACCGATAAAGCAGCCTGGGCTCCTCAAGCAGTACCATACCCGTACACCCGCACACCTCCGCCGACCCAACCCGGCCCGACTCAGGAGAGAGGAAAGAGAACTTCGTCTGCGTCCAGCCCGGGACTCCCTTGCAGAGTCTCTACGTAGAACCTTCTTCCAGATGCAATTAAAGTAATATATCTCCGGCTACGGCCAATGGGGTTACGTAACCCTGATCCCTACCTCTCTTAGCAGCGAGTGATGGGCTGTGTATAGGGAGCTAGGTTTGTCTCTCAAATACATGTACCTACACCGCCTGCCCCGCCAGTCTCTCCACTAACTATAAACCACGGTCGTTAAGCAAGCACAGAACAGAGTCCATTGAAAAAAACAGCCTAGGATATAAATAAAAAAAACACTCATAAATTAATAATAAACAACCAAACCACACTCCACAAATGTCCATGAATGCCACCTTTTCCCACCACTCCCTCCCCCATTCCCCACCTCAAGGCGGACTACTAATATGCATCCACAGCGTCCCACAAAAACACATCCTCTGCATACTCCCCAACCAATAACTCGGGCTCTTGATGGGTATGATATCCTCCACCACCGCACAGCACCTCGTGCACCTCCTTAGCTTAATCTTGTCATCGCCCTTCGGCAGCACCACCTTTCTAATCGCATCGATCCTATTCAGCCTCCGATACTCCCTGCTCGCGACATCGTCGTGGAAGCCGAGCCACGTCACGTCGTGCCAAAACAGCTTTGCGACGTCGAGGTCGTTGCGCAGCGTCGGCAGCGTGAGGTTGAGCAGCCGCTCGACGGCGGATGCGAAGATGGGCGGGATCTCGTTGTTGACGAAGAGGAGCTTCTCGGCGTTTGCGCGCTCGGCCTCGGCGACGTCTTTAAACTAATTCAATACCCGCGCGCACCCGGAAGGCTTGGGAGGGGGGTGAAAACTTACTGTGATAGGCCGCTCTGATTGTGCCGTCAATATCAGTCATGATGCGCTCAAACTGGCTAATCTTGACCGCACAGCTCTCAATCGGCACCTTCAAGCTTCGGAACGTCGTCCTCTGCTCCTCGTCCACCGGCCCGCCCTGCAGCATGGCCAGCTGCTTTCCAGCCGTCGTTTCCAGCCCCTTCAGGCTCCTACAGTTATACCTCAGCAGCGCGCGCGGCGCACTCGCCAGTGCCAAAAAGAGCGCGGGGGAGTTCCCTTCAATGACTGCACGGAGATAGTCTTCAGCACTTCAATCTAGACAGGGCCTACTAGAAGTTCGAACGTACCTTTCTCGCGGACGAAAGCAAGGTCGCTTGTTCTCCCCTTTGTGGCCTTGGCCAGCTCAAAGAGATCGCTGATAGTCAAGCTCATGATATCCATCAACCACCTCACGAGCCCCAGCAGCGTCTGGAGGGCCTCGGGGCGCAGGTCGAAATCGTTACTCCCGCCCGCCCCCTGCTGCCGCTGCGGGTTGTTAAACGTCAGCGCAAACGCCACACTCGCAACGCGGAGGTGCAGCGTCGCCCAGGCCAGCTTCCCGGAGAGGCGCTTATTGACGCGCTCGCCCTGGAAGTCGAGACTGTTCTGCAGACTCAGGCACCGCTGGAGCAGCGGGTTCCGGAAGAGGCGCTCGGAGGGCGACTCGGTTGCGAAATCCATCTTGAGGTTCAGAGCGCGGTGGGCCTCGGAGAGAAACATGTTGTTGAACACCGGGTTCCTGTACTGCTGTGCGACGAGTAGCAGGTCGTCGTTGTTGAGGTGGTTATTGCAGCTGTACGCGTGCTGGTGCGCCAGTGCTACGCAGGCAATCTCCATGTTCTCCTCCTCTTGCATGTTGCCGCTGTATTCCATGACCATGAGCTTGATCGAGTGGTCGCATCCCAGTCTGATCGCAACTGCATTGTTAGGGGACAGCGCAAGGTCAATACAGTCTTCTCCCTGCGGGAACCAAAACCCAGCTTGCACCATATTCATAACCAGGTCTTTACTTGTGCTCTGATTCTGCAGGGGGTTGAAGTTGTAGCGGTCGCGGAGCTCCAGGGAGCCATCTGAGAAGGCAAGGGCAACACAAACAGTGCCGGAGGTCACAAGGGAAACAGATATGATGGTTTTGGGGATAAAGAGATCGTCCATCCTGAACAGCTCGAGCTCCACGCTCGTCGGGCTAGAAACACTACTCCTCCTCACCCCCAGCTGGTCGAAGGACGGATGCAAGGTGCTCGGGCTCTCTTTGAGACACCATCTACATACCACACTAAAAGTCTCCCCGTCTGCACGCCGGCTGGAGAATACTGCTAGCACACTAGGGACGTTTGGTATCTGTGGAGGGCCGGGAGTGGGCGCCATGATTTCTAGATGTGATAGCTGCGCAGATGAAGTATCCTGGCTACCAGATTCCATGGGCATTGCGTGGTTCTCGACTTTGATATGTTTAATCTCGAGAGTTGGGGGAGCCGGGAGCATAGTGGGAGGTTGATTTGGGGGGTTCTGTTGAAGATTCCAATTTATAGAGATCCGATATACACGAAGCTGGTGGGAAAGCGTGTAGGCTGCTAAGACCGCAACGTTGTCTGGGCAGAGATGTAAGCTCTTTAATCAAACACAGAGGTAACCAACGGACGACAAATCTTGATTGAAGCTCATAAACAGAAAAAGGAAGATACCTTTATTCCACGAGATCGCCGCATGAGAGAAGAGGTCATCGAGTGATGAAAAGCCTTCAAGCTCTGTAGTAACTTCTTGATATCGACTATGTGCATCCTGGTACCACATTTTGGCCTAACCACGCTGTTATCAGCGCCCACTCTCTCCTAGATTATTCACGGCAGCACACATACAGTCCCTCCCCGTGTTATACCAATCGCCGCCACCTTCCCTTGAATGGGATGAAAGGGCCCATAGGGCCTGAAACTCAACGCTTGATACCTAAAGCTCCGGTCTTCTTGTCTTGCTGCAGGTCTATACAGCGCATACTACCTCCCACCGTCAGCACTCTCTCATCTCCGCCCTCCATCGCCCTCCGCAGTAGGGGTAAAATACAGCTCTCTCAACCGGCAACCACCAGAACCCCACCAGCGCGCTCAAATCGTCGTCCTGGTCCAATATCTGCTGCCGCGTAACATTCAGATGGTTGACCGCCAAAAATACCGTATAAAACGACACCCGGCCAAGCCTATCCATCACGGCCAGTTCAGCACCATGGCTATTCCAGGTGACGTGAGTAAGCTGCTGCCCTTCGTGGTACCGTGATACATTGGCGACCGGGTATGCGTCACTAAGCAGCCAGCGACCGTCCTCTGGCGAACACAAGAGATGGCGGGTTTCGACTCCCGTACCGGCGGCGTTGATTATCGCTATCGACCCGAGTTTCGACCATGCTATCTTCCTATAGGCTAGACTTTAGTTCCAATGCACACACGGCAGGGCCACTCGGGGGATGAGGAGGAGGAGGAGGAGGAGGTGGGCGGACGGACTGATTACAACCCCCGAGCCGGAGCTCGTCCATCCTACTGTCGATTCTCCGCGGCGAGGTGCGCGGCGCCGTGTCATCTTGAAAGAGGTCCTCAACACCAAAGCCGTTCTCCATCGGTTGTCAATCGGGTTCAAAACCTCTGCGGGAGTGGACTGGGAGGGGACTGTAGCTTATCTGTGGACGCTGGTTTGAACTGTGGGCGATCTGAAGGAGGTGTCGACAATGTTCGGAGGTAGTTACAACAATATAGGTGCAGCATACATGCACCTGCATGCATCACCTACTCTACTTGCTTACCAGCAAAAGAACCAAGGATAATTTGTATGGAGTGGCGCCGTTCTCTCATACAAATAATCCCTGGTTCTTTTGCTGGTAAGCAAGTAAGTATCTACATGTAGTAATTTATTTTCATCACGTGATGGCCATTATTAAAGATCCCTCCAATACCAAGAACACCTGAGCGATTGATTGAATTTGCGGTAACTAAGAGTAACCAAATACTTCGGACCTCACCTGCTCATTTTGTTGGGGGTGGAAGGTATCTCCACTCAAAAAATCTGAATTGAGATATGTGATCTACAAATCCTAGCCTACTATCAAAAAATGGACTAGGAAGTGTGATGAACACTGCAAACTCTAACCTGCCTTAGGATTCGCCAATTAAAGTACGATGACACGGATCGCAAGTGTAGGGACCATATTAAGCTTTATCTTAAAACCACGCATTGCGCAAATGGTCGTCATCATACGTAATCGTGAACTGCAGGGTATATTCACTTTTCACGAAGAGGCATCCTTGTATCAACCAATGTTTTCCCCCTGGTCGGTTTTATTTCATTGTCTACTTAAGCTTTGAAACTAAGACTAAACAACGTGGGAGAGGTAAATAGGATAATGACTGAGGGATCAATCAAACTATTCAAACTTTCCTTTGCTTCTCCAGCTTTGCCATAGCGGAAATGTAGTCTTCCTTGTTCTTCTTAACCATATCCTCGAAACGCTGTTACACATTAACCACTATTCCTCTATGGATTCAAGAGATTTTATATACCTTCTTCTCGCTCTCCGGAAGCTTCTCATATTCCTCTCCCATTACCTTTCTGGCAGCTACGATGCTGGGCTTCCCTGTCGCATCAAAAAACTTTCTCCCAGTTCCATACTGCTCCCGGAAATACATGAAGAGCGGTGTTGTAATTCTTTTTGGAAGTCTGTCATCTGGGATTGGGCTAACTTTTGAACTGACGCCAAGGCCTTTGAGACGACGACGTGCATTGTTGGCTTCGCGGATAACCAAGGGTGACAAGCTCTTGACCCACTTCTTGTATTCCTGGTCTCTTATAGGCTTTTGTTCTTCAGCTCTTTTCATGTAGGGCTTGTGTCCAAAATTGTTAGTGAATAATTAGGATAGGGTTAGGAGCCGCCAAATAGATGCGGAAAGACAAACATACAATTTTCACATCCTGCGGCAGGGCCTTCCATTCAACCGCGAGGACGGCAGCTGACGTCTTCTCCTTGTGCATCTGTTCCCCAAACCACAGAGTATACCCACTGCCACCAGGCCTGGGCGGCGGATTTAGTGCCTTCTCCCTCAACTGCTTGATCAAGAGCTTCTTCTTCTGCTCATCTGTGAGTTCCTTCTTCGCAGCTACTTTCTTGACTGGGTTTTTAGCGGCCGCCTTGGGTGTTGCGGACTTTTTAGTAGTTGATCCTGTTTTACCAGCAGCCTCGGCGGTGGCAGTCGCTTTGGTTCTTCCTCCCGCGGATGATTTTGGAGCGGTCTTAGGTGTAGCGGCATCTGCGGTTTTTGTGGTGGGCTTTGCAGCGGCTGCAGAGGCTACAGATCGGCTGGTAACGATGAAAGCGGGGATGATACACGCATTGAGCCCGCGGTTGAGTATCAAGCCGGAGCGAGATAAAGTGAGAAGGCGATGAGTAATAGTACTGGTAATTCCCATTGTTGATGATGTTTCAATTGATGATGGGAATGCGTGGAGTGTTGATGGGATTGGAGAAAAGTGGGACAGTTGGCTTGTGTGGCCTTGGCAAAGGAAAAGTGGGGGTGAGATTTTTCTGCATGATGTATGTAGGACTTGGCAGTCGTTAAACACAACAGGCAAACGTTCCAGGAGCACTGCATGATGATGTATGTACCGGGCGTTGAGGGTAAATACGAAGAATCTGATAAGAGAATCTTGCCGTGAAATAGGTGTGTTTATCTTATCAGATTCTCGGTATTTATGGTTGACCCCCGGTACATTTCAGGATCGTAGAGGAACTACATGTACCGGGTGTTGAGGGTAAATACGAAGAATCTGATAAGAGAATCTTGCTGTGAAATAGGTGTGTTTATCTTATCAGATTCTCGGTATTTATGGTTAACCCCCGGTACTCTAGCCTTTAATTTAGATACATGTATGAGTTTCTAAGGCTAAGTCCATCAATTGGGTATCAATTAAGGTCTTCACGAGATTATTCATAAAAGACCCCTATAGAGTATAGACCTTCTAGAAACCATTCTTCGATCCCTTTTGTGATAAGGTTTTTGCCCACATCCCCAGATCCTATCACCGCAGTGCTCCTAATGTTGGAGTCTACAGAGGGGCCACTTGTAGAATGATAAAATTACCTATATGAGATTAGTTCAATAATTATTCGGCGACCAAGTAAAGTACTGGCTGACGATTCTATGAATCATGTGATCACATATTGGCATGGAGCCTTGAGTACATGTATCCAGTGCGTACTTAAGCCTTCAGATAGAGTATAATTCGGTTAGAAAGTATATGTATGTAGTACATGTAATAGAGCGTATTTACTAACCGTCAATTCTGACAATTGGCGCTTCGCCACTCTCCAAAGCGGAATCCACAAGTGTCAATTTGCGGCTTGCGCATTTCATATCCTTATGGAGGGGAAGTGTCAATTTTGCATTTTGCAACCGTCAATTTCGAAGTCTCAATTGTCAAAAATGACACTCAGTAAATACGCTCTAATAACAAGGAAATTTGGGCCCTGGCCAGTTTACTGGCAACAATACATGTATGTACATGTAGTTAGACCGAGCCAGGGGACCGTCATTAAAGGCTGGCCCATGTTCAGGATTGTTGTCTTCATTTTACGTAGGAAAAACGCAGGAGCTCCCGCTCTCCCCTCCCCCCAACCACAGCTCACACCACCAGAATAAGCAGTATCCAAAGTAATACTAATAATCCTATTAAAGTGCTCCCTTCATAAAAGTTCCATCCATTTTGGCAAGGAGAGGAATAAATCGGTTGGAAGGATGTTCGACAAACTGAGTAACACACAAAAAACATCTACTCAAGCGGGTATCGATGTCGGCAGTCAGTTTTGATGGTGTTTAGATATGGCATGGAGGAGGTAGCTCAAGCGGAAGCGCATGAAATTTGATTTCGTTCTTGAAAGGATTTTTTAGTGGCTTCGTAATCTAGTATTTTAAATTTTCTAACTAGACAACCTTAATAATTTATTTTTGTATATTTCCGTAAATAAAATAAATACATGTAGTTTTTGATAGGATATATATCGGCCGTCATGACTCCATGGATCCAGCCCATTCTCTGCAAAAATAGCAGCTAGCAGCTAGGGCGCAAGCCGGCCCATGCACAACTATTTCGGTCACGAAGTATATTATCTAAATTATTTGATAGAGTTTCCTTGGATTTTAGATCGATCCTAGGGGATTCGTCACCTCGTTCAATCATTAAATAGTTATAAATTTACTCCTAGGGGTGTCACACTGCATATACCTACATGCAGTCTCGTGCCCATACATGTACCTTATTTTTGGTGTGATCGGAAATTTGTACAGCAAAATACATGTAGTCAACAACTACCACCGGCACTACTACTACCACCATCAAAAAGAATACCGGATGTATCGAGTAACGAGACTAATAACCTCCCATGTTTGGAGATTTATGTATTTCCTACCTTTTCTCCTATAAAATATCTGATTTCGAATATTACGTGATCATACCACATATACATGTATGTATACAGTTGATCCGAGATGTTCTTTTAGGAATTTCCGACAAGAGGTACTTGGTTAATATCGATTATTTTAACTACATGTATAAATATCACTTTTTGATAGTAACATGCATATATATATATACATAGCATTTCAACGGAGCTTTCGAGGCACATATAGCTACAATATATAGGCCAAGGTTCAATGCTCGATACAGTACATGATATACATGTTCTTATGTAATCGGTCGACCTAGTAATTCTCAAAGACAAGATACGTCGTAAACCACAGTATTCGTTGTCGAGCCCGAGTTCCTGTCGGTCACTATACAGCAATATATGATCTTGTCGTCCTCCCTTTTTACCTACTTGAATCAAACGGGATTTCCTAGCCATTAAGGCCTCGCAAATCTTCAGTTCCAATTACCTGAAGACTCATATGTACGCGTGCGCGTGAAAATGAAGACATTAGTCGATTTAGATATTTTAACTCTGTAAAAGGGTTTCAACCAATATCCCCACATGTATGCATTAAGTATACCTTAAAGGAACATGTTTCGAGTGATAGTCTATGAAGCGAACATCTCTGATTACAACTTACAGGTTGCCCTAGGCCGTCAATCATTAGCTGATCTAGCATCGTACATATATGACGTCCGCAAGTCGCTGTTAAAGCAACGTGCAACATTCAGAGCCATTCCAAAGAAATCCTTAGTTAGCGAAAATCGCACATCACATCCTTCCCATTCTGCTCAGCTTCTTTCAGGAGTGATTTTTCATGATTACATCCAGAATACCCCTTCCCCGATCAGGAAGAGGGGGTTGTCATGCTCACATATACGCGTGACCATATCCATGTCTCCCTACCTGGCAACCTCAAATTCACACATACATTTTCTATGAACACCTTGTTGGGCACTTCTTCTATTTGGGTGTCGGCAGCTCCACCCCGCGTTACCGCCCCCAATGAAGTCTCAGCTATTTTCCCAGTCTTCGCAGCCGCGATTATCACCGCCGCCGCCTCGCCCTCTCCAACTGTTGGCCGAATGCTCCCTCCGAGATCTACTTCCCCGATCTCATGATATTCGTCCCATACCATCTGCCGAGAGAGATAGAGTCCCCTATTACCAACCATATCTTTCTCAGTATACAAGGCTTAATTACCAGAACTTTAATTACGGTGGCCCCGAGAAGCGCAAGTTTTCACAGGCGATGGACGGGCCAGGACTTCAGCCTAACGGTCTCCACGATCAGATACAGCAAGATCAACATCAGCAGCAAAAGGAAGTGAATTCCCTGCCATGGACAAGTTTGGCATCTACTACGAAAGATACAAACGGTGAACAAAAAAGTGGATTAACTACTCTCATATGCGCAGCAGAGTCCTCCCCCGAGGCTTCGACTACAACACCCGATCCCCGATCCTCTATAATTCCAGCAACTGGAAAGATAGAACAAAAAGCAACCTCGATCTGCAGCGCCTCCTCATCTTGCTGTGATGACGATGATTGTTCCTCGAAATGCGAGGACGAGGACTGTGACGCTCCTGCATGCGAAGATTGCACGGCTTGCGAGATAGTTCCCCAGTTTTGCGATTCTGAATCTTGCCTTGAACAAAGCTCCTCCTGCCCAGAGGATGCTTCTTGTGTTCAGAAGATTATATGTGCTAAAGATGACTGCGAGGTCACAAGCTGCCATCCTTCGGACTGCGTGTTTGGTAATGGTGACATCCCGGGGTTCGATGTCCCTCTATGGAGCGTGCCGCTAGGAGGATTTGCGCACCAGCAACCTCAGAATCACAATCGTAATCAAGATCGGAATCAGCACCAGAATCAGCACCAGAGTGGCAGCGTTGAACCAAATCTTTTGTCTCTGGATTACGGTAATCCTGACCAATTGCAAGATTTACAACTTCACTACCCTTTACCAGCGCAACAATTGATCCATTATCCCATTTCACAACCAAACCTTGCATCAGAACCCTCGGAATCATCTCGCTCCTCATCTGCATTCCTTGAACCCTACAATGAATTTTCCTCCACTTTCGATCACGATTATGCTGCACCTTCAAAGCGTCGTCGGGTCTCTCAAACTACCCCCATCACTTCACCCGCTTATGAGTACCCCTCGAAGCCAAGTACACCGTTCAGTACCGCCGAACCCGTACAAAACTGGCCAAACTACAACCCCACAAACAATGAAAATTGGAATAATGGAATGTTATTCAACACTAATCCCGCCAACAGCAATAACTTAATGGATCTGAACGACTGTCACTGGGATGGCTGCAACTTCCATTTCGCTTCAGAGGTTGACTTTCAGATGCATCTATCCACCCACCTTGGTGAGTTGACTCCAGAACAGTGTTTATGGGATGCATGCGGGACCAGTGTCGATGGTCTTGAAGATTTGAAGGAGCATCTAGCAGTGCATTTGCTACCGCCGGATGTAGACTCATCTACCAGAACCTCCCCTGCACCGACCATCGATGACGGGGGGCCGAAGCGGTGCGAGTGGCTGGTCAGTACTGGCAAGAATGTCAGTAGCAGTGGGGAAGAAGAATTAGTGAGATGCGGGAAAACATTTGCATCCGCAGAGGAACTGCAAAAACATGCAAAAGACGAACATATTGCCATACTCAAGAAAAAGACAGGACATTTCTGCGGATGGGCAGATTGCTCCCGGCGGAATAGGCCATTTAGTCAAAAAGGAAAGGTTGAGAGACATTTACAAACACATACCGGATGTAGGTTGAAGTGAATCCCATTACTATATATCAAATAGGAACAAGCGCTTCTACTAGCACAAAGTTAATAAGACCGTCAATTGACGCTTGAGGCTTTGGAGAGGAGCATTTCAACTTATTCTTGAGATTTGTGCACAACTAAGCTCGTCAGAAGAAATGAGATTAGTGCTAATATGATGATGAATGGGGTAACAGTCAAAAGCTGCAAATGCACGTTTTGCAATAAGGAGTTTTCTGCTGCACAGGCATTACAACAACATATCAGAACACATACCGGAGAGAAGCCATACAAGTGTGATGTAAGCTTTCTCCTCTCCGATACCCCTCCTCAAGTCTCTTTAGATATATACCCGCAATATTATCGCATCGCTTCCCATGCTCTACATACCCCGCATTTACGAATATATACACGGGCCGATCCAAGCCATACCTTGGTTTCTCACTTGGAATTTGGATTTGTACATATCTTTCATGTCCCCTTTAACTGGCTTACGGAAAAATTTCGATTTTGCAGGTCTGTTTCAAAGAATTCGCTCAGGGCTCGGCCTTGACGATGCATAAGAGAGTACATACCGGGGATAGACCTTTGAAGTGTGAATTTCCGGGCTGCGGAAAAAGGTTCTCCGAAAGTAGCAATTTAAGCAAACATCGCAAGAGTGGGTTATTTGGCTCTATCTATTTTTTCTTTCTCTCATTATTTTGACAGCAATCGGAGGGTTTTTGGCGGTATTTACTAACTTATGCCTCCCGCAGCACATCTATCGGTTGGACAGCATCGATGCGGCTTTGCTGGTTGTGAGAGGACTTTTCACAGGCTTGGTACGTTGTCCTTGACCCAATCTGGCATGCCCCTTCCCCTTTTCTCTACTTTATTCTTTGGAAGGTGATTAAACAATGTACCTGATGAATAATTGAGCGGCGCAAATTCCAATGAAGGGTTTGGGGATTTGCAACTACGATTGCGCGTCTACTACTGGGTTGTACCCTCCCTCGCTGGATATCAAACCCTTCATTGGCTATGCCCGTATCTTTTCGTTCATTACCAACTATGTTACGTCACAATCGTGGTGAAGAGTCTGGCGAACATCCTATGCCAAGACGCCCGCCATGTTGGGTGGATGATTCTACCCAAGTTATGTGCCTAAAAGAGGGGTTAATATTGGTATTTTCCACAGCGATGATCCAATTCCCCCCTTAAGGACTTGAAGGCATACCACCCAAATGTGAGATGAGCGTGGGGGGATCATGTTGATTGGTATCCAATATGAGCCTACCTTTCTTTACATGGGATATTCATCATACTCTCCATCACGATTGGACATCGCAATCTCGATATAAGCCTATTTTGGGGGATGTACTATTGCATCTTCCCAGGTGGCGGCGAATAAGTTGGGATGGGATGAGAATACCTTGTTTTCTGCATCGAGATCCATTATGCTTATATCGGGGTTGCGATGTGCCGCGCAGAGAAAAAGCAAACTATTCCGACTCTGTCTTTCCGCGGAGCCATGTTTGGTATCAATTTGGAAGTTACCGTATTTTTGCTGACTTGATTCATAGACCAGATGAAGCGTCATCAGAAAGTCCATGGTAACTTCGTTTCTCTCACTTCCAACGATCACAACGACAATAACCCACTCCCGGAGGAATCAGACTCACTCAACAACTTTCTACTACAGCCTCATCCTACATAAAATCAACAGAACATGATCTCATAAATCGATCCGATATTCCTTCTCATACAACCTTCCTTCTTTTCTTGGCAACTGGGCTATATGGGTTTTGGCGTTCGCTGGCGCATTAAAATTGCTTCAAAGGTTTTTGGATGTTTAAACGTTTATGACTTTCTTTCTTCATTTAAATGGGGAGCACGTAATGGGCACTTTGCACAACTGGAAATACACATCTATTACACGGAGTACGTGTGGATAACAGCGTGCTAATGAGCAGATCAATTATAAACAGACTCCATTATATTTTTTTCAATAGACAAACGGGTTCTTTGAGTAAATTCGTCAGGAGGGAAAAAGAAATGGGATTTATTTTGTACATTTTGTTTTTCTGGGAGGAGGACAACTCCGATCTGCTCCCGATAAGGGACTTTCCCCTGAACTAGAGCTATCTATCTTCTTTTGTTATTCTTGCTTGATCAACTTCGTAAGCCCGAAGGTATGGCGTCGTCAGCTATCGTGAGTACCTCGTATGCAATATTGATGTGAACTGATATACATATAGGTGGTGTCTGAGCCTTATTGCACATGACTACTAACTTGCTTGATATCCTGGGTAATTTCTCCGTCAGCCTTGCTATTTCTCGGGAGGGTTTATTTATTTATTTCCGCCGTTCCGGTTTACCTGTCACATCATAAAATTTGTCTGATATTGAAAAAGGAAAAAAAATATTAAGTGATGGTTTTGATATTGCAACCAGTCTCGTAAAGGTTAGGCTTGAGTAGCCGAGTTTCAGCTAGCTTTCTCTTGTCAGAGTCTTGTGCTTGCATTTATTTCCCCCACATTCCCCCTTTCTGATTTCTTTTTTTCGTTTCTTCGATTGTAGGCTTTGGGGGGGGCGGGGGGGGCGCAGATCTTACATGCTGTGCTGCTGTCTGCTGTTGTGGGTGTGTGAAAGCCAACAAGAACATTTCTTTTCCCCCCTTTTTTCTTCTTCCTCTTTTCTTTTTGTGATTTCCAAGGCAGGAACTGCTGGCCACGCTGACAAGTGATGGATGGGATGGACTCAAACACGATGGCACGATGGATGAGAGTGAGGATGTTAGTGGTAGAGGTGTGCTTATTGCATAGACAGCATAGCTCTTTGGATAGATAGAGTAACGTACATGAAATTTGTATGTATGTATAGTAAGGTGTACTATTCAGAGTGGGTACATGTGGTTCATATATAATTATCACCGAATGTCTTTCCGCCATAATGGTCCACATGCGCTGGGGCTTTAAGCGCTGATACGTGTATTTATCGAAGAGATAGATATCTGTATTGTACATGTATGTATGTATCTATATACATGTAGTTCCTATCGCGAGTTGTTTTACTTCTTTGCTTTTGAGGGATATTCAAAACGCACACTTGAATTGCGTACTTTACTCTACTCGCACTTGTACATTAACCAATACATGTACATATACTTTACATTGTAGCAAGAAATAGAGAGAGCCATCCTTCTTCCCCGCTTCTTCCTTGGTTTTTGAAACCAACCTCCTCTTTTTACGTGACAACCGTTCTCACACACCAAAAACCCCCACCGTTCCGGCTTCATGTCGGTCGCCCACATGTCACTAAGGAGGGCCCTCTTCGAGGCGCTCGACCTTAGCTCGCTCGACAAGACCATTGGCCTTCCAGAGCTCACCCACACCCTCTCTGTTGAGGTTGAAAGGACAATCGGAAACAGAGACCACCGCGAAAGCATTCAAACGATGACCCTCCTCTTGTTAGGAGTTATTCATCAAAACAAACAGCTCACCGAAGCAGTCTCCAAACTAGGAGATGACATCACCTCCCTGAGGGAGTCAATCGCAGCCCCCAAAGCTGCTCCCATCCCCTCAGACCCCCTAATCGTTCAAAAACTGGACACCCTCATCGGGAGAACCAGCCTCCCCCCTCCCACACCCCAGGCCCCACACAGACCTACCCCGCCCGCCAAGCCTGCCCAACCGAGGGCAACCCCCATGTATGCACAAGTGGTTCGATCCACTCCCAACCCACCCAACCCCCCCAGCAAGAAGACAGCCAAGGCAGCCGTAGCCTCGGCCCCAGGATCCGCCCCGAAGGCGAAGCCCCTACCGTCTGCCCACCGCCGCTTCTTCGCCACCAGGACAACCCCCAGTCCCATCGCCAATGCCGAAAGGCTATCGGCAACCCTCCCCCGCCTCTTCGGTCAAGCCCTAGCCCGAAGCCACCAAGTCGCCCCCGTCACCTCCCTCACCGTCACCATCAACAACAGAGGCACAGTCTCTGTTACCGCTCCCCCCACCGTCCCATCAACGGTCTACACACCCTTCTTCGAGGCCCTCACCACGATCCTAAACGTGGAGGTAGCCTCCCCAGAAAACCCCTACACCACCTTCCGCCCCGCTCCCACCAACGTCGATCTCGCCATCCATGGCGTCCCCCTCTACGAGCTCCCCAACCAGGAATGCCTAGAGGAGATCCTGCCCTCCGCACTTAAACTAGCCGTTGGCATCACCCCCTCTGCCGTCCGTTTCCTAAACACGGACGAAACCTCCCGCTCCTCCAAGGCCACCACCTCTGTCATCGTCTCCGTGACGGCGGAAGAGGCAGCAACCATTGGAACCACCATCCGCCTCTTCTCCCGCCCCAGACGCTGCAACGTCATGTGGCGAGCATCCTCCACCACCCAATGCAGGAACTGCTGCAAGCTAGGCCACGCCACCCAGGGATGCAGGTCCCCCATCGCCTGCCCCCTGTGCACCCTCCCCCACAAGCTCCAAGACCACCGCTGCCCAGTTGCCACGTGCAGGGGAGCATCGGCACCTCTTGAAAACTGTTGCGAAATCTCTCCCGCCAAGTGCATCAACTGCAACGGGCCCCACCGCTCCTTCACTCCAGCCTGTCCCAGCAGGAAACCCACCACTCCTCCAACCCCCCCCAACCCCCAGACCGCGATGGAAATCTCATAAAAACACCGCGCCACACCACCACTACCTCCAGGAGACTAGGTTCTCGGAGGCCCCATTAAGGATTTTCCCCCTTTTCATAATTTTCTTTTGTCTCTGTAATCTTTTTATAGGCGGAAAAACAGTCGGTCGGGGATAGGTCTTTACGCCATAGTTTATACTTTATGCGATTCTTTGTACCTAGAAACAATAGAGCTTGATTAAAAAAAAAAAAAAAAGAAATAGAGAGAGCATGTAAATGACAGGCTGTGGGAGCTGGGCATACTATCATCCCAGTCTATCAATTAGTAAGTCTATATTAGGTAGCACCGTAGAGTAACAACTTAGAATGTAGTCGAGCTGCTTCTATGCTTCCTTCCAC